TGAGGCATCTGATCAAAATCTGCTTTGAGCTTAAAAAATTATATTTGTAAATATATTTTTCTCTCATGCAAGGGAGAAGAGCAGCTGAATACTCCGGCAGCTGTTCAAGGGGCCCCACTGCTATAAATAGCAGTATTTCAGGGTTGTAAAAAGTATTTCAAGGTTGTAAAAGGAAATTAGAGCCAGAGAGCAAAAGGTCACACTGACCAGAATACAATCAAGCTGTAAAAACACAATTAAGAACTGGTAAATAGTGAAATTTATTGTTTAACAGAAGACCGAGCCATAAGGTTAAAGGTTAAATGGAAGAGGTTGCTCTTAGAAACAGCTGCTGGTTAGGGAAAAGGCCTCTCTCCAAACTGTTTTGAAGCTTCAGAGAATTTACTAAGTTCCTTCTAATTTGAAAAGGCCTTTCCTTCTAAAAATCTATCTATGTTATGTATGAAATATATTGGCTTAAATGTAATTATGCAAAGGATTTAGAAAGTAAGAAATGTTAGATTCTTATGTTAGATTCCTATTATGGTGGGTGAGAAGGTGAACTCAAGATCTCTTTAAGATAAAAAAATTAGAAACCATGCACCATCTGCTTTAGCCATCTGGTTTGCGGTGAATAGGGCAACAGGGGCCAAAGGTTATCTGGTAAGTGAGGTGCCTGGTCGAGGTAAATGTAAGATATATGGCTACTTGTCTGCCATTTATGGATACAAGGAAATATAGCTGTTTGTCTCCCATAAAAGGGAATAGGAAATGGGTGTATCTTTTATGATTGGTTCTAGCAAACAACCAATAGGAATTTCAACCAGGCTGATTGGACAGAGGCAGCCAAAGGAGGAGCAAGGGGGCTGGGCTGAGGAAATATAAGTGCTGGCCATCAGGGCTGGAGTAGGCAGAGCTTTGGTATCCATATACCACTGTGTCTCTCATTTATTTGTCTGACAAATAAATTATTATTTTAATTTCTCTATTGCTGCGTTGAATATTTCATTCCAGCTAAGCGTTAACCACAAGCAGGGTGCTACATTTTATGGTGCCTCTGTGACTGGATAAGTGGTCTGCTGGAACGCAGCCCTTCGCCCTAGCGGGCAGGGTACAAGAGGGAGGACCACTGACCGCTTACCCAGCGCGCACTGGAACATTTTTCCAGGGGAACGCAGAAGTCTCGTCTGTCTGATACCCTGCTCACTGGCGGCGACGGACCGGGGGTAACCAGAGAAATAAACAGGGAACCAGCTAAGGGTAAGTGCACAAAGGGGTTGTGGCCCTCCAAATCATTGGGAGGAAGAGAAGTCTTGATCAAACCACCGCGACTCAGTAAGGGGGAACTGAGTACGCTAGGTGGTTGGGTACATCAGATGGTGGTCTGGTGGAGGGAAAAGGGAAAGATTGGGAGGTAGAGTGTGGTGAAGTATCCAGCGCATTGTATGTGTGAGAAAGTACAATTTGTAGCTGACCTGAGTGTGGAGTGGGTAGTACTTCGGTTCCTAGTAAGGCGACTTCACTAGGCAAGGATCCCCACGAAGCGTGTGTGTGAGTGACTGAGTGGATACTTCACAGGGCCATACAATGGGAGTTGGAGGTTCAAAGGGGGAAATACACCTCTTGAATGTATGTTAAATAATTTTAAGAAAGCCTTCTCAGGAGCATATGGAGTCAAAATGACGCCAGAGCGCTTGAGAACGTTATGTGAATTAGACTGGCCAAAACAAAATACTGGATGGCCACCTCAGGGAAGTTTTGATATAAATTTAGCAAGCAAACTTTGGTCTAACATCACCAAAGAAACTGGAGGGTGCCCAGAACAATTTTCATATATAGATTCTTGGCTGAGCACATTAAATAATAATCCTCCATGGATAAGGGAATGCAAAGTCCAACAATGCAAATTATTGGCTGTAAAAGCCGAAGCTAGGAAAGGAATCTTGCCAAATAAACTCAAACCCATTTTTGAGGGACCAGAGGAAGAGGTGCTTCCACCTCCACCCTATGCTCCACATCGAGGGAGCCTAATCCAAACACTCCACCAGTTGTAACCCCAAGGCAAGAAAGTGGAAGGAATAATGGGGCTGGAGTCACAGAGCTTGATTCCTTGATAGATTATGATAAATATCTTCAGGAGGCATTGGAGTCCTATAATAAAGCCCAAGCAGAAGTGGTTATTCCACCTGTGAGTCCCAGTAGAACTCCATCTACAGTCTCCTTTAGTGGAACAACTGATTGCCCACCCCAAACCCCTGTACATCCAAGTCCTAGAGAACTATTACAGGAGACTTTGATCGGTCAGTAAGCAATACAGCCAGGCGTATAAAGCTGTTAAAAGAACGCCTTGGGACAAATACTATCCCCTATGATTTGAGGCCCAAAAACAAAAGACAAGAGAAAGGTCACCTAGTAGACCCTCTCAGAAGAGTATTTGATGCACTTGAGGAGCCTGTGCTGTTAACGGGCAACTCGGACCACGGCCACCTCGAACTCTCGACCCTCCAGTACATTCCATTCACAACTACGGATCTGATGAATTGGAAAACACACACCTGCTCTTTCGCAGAAAAACCTCAGGCTATGATGGACTTGAGTGACTTCAATAGTAAATACTCATAGTCCTACTTGGACAGATTGCCGCCAGCTCCTGAATACTCTGTTCACCACTGAGGAAAGAAGAGACATAATTGAAAAGGCACAGATATATTTGCGTGAGCAGGCCAGAGTGGGAAATATTCTTAATGTTGACCGTCATCTCCAGGACAATTTCCCTTGGAGGATCCTAATTGGGATCCAAACAATGCAATCACCTGGCCAGGCTTACCACCTACCGCCAGACGCTTGTGCAAGGTATCCGCAGGGCATGCCAGAAGCCCACTAATATGACTAAAGTCTCAGAAGCAGAACAGAAACCGAATGAGAGTCCAGGAGACTTTTAGAGAGGCTGCAGGAAGCCTATCGTATATGGACTCCTTTTGACCCTGAAGCCCCTGCAAACAGCAGAATGATTACTGCTACTTTGTGGCTCAGTGCGCTTCTGACATTCGTAAGAAAATTCAGAAGTCAGAAGGCTGGGAAGGGATGCTGATGAGCCAAATTATGGCCATTGCACGCCGAGTTTATCGGAATAGGGATGAGGCTGAGAAACAAGAGAAGAAGAAGTGGCAGAAGGAAAAGATGGTGATGCTAGCCACAGCAGTGAAGCAAGACTACCGCCCTTTAAATGGAGGGAGAGGGCGGGGAAGGAATCCACCACTGGGAAGGAATCAATGTGCGAATTGCAAGAAGGAGGGTCATTGGAAGCGGGAGTGTCCTGAACCCCTGAGGTTGGAAGAAGTACGCCCAGGCCCAGGCCCAGGCTCCGGCCCAAGAAACCAGGGACGGGGACGGGAATGATCCGAGATGGAAGATATCAGAGACCTGGACAAGGACGGAGTAGAGACAATTTCATTGGACTGGCAGAGGAGGATTTTACCCAAGACTAGGAACGACCGGACTCCATAAAGTTAGGCTTCCAGGAGCCCACGGTCAAAATTCAATTAGGGAGCCATTTAATAGACTTTATGATAGATACTGGCGCTGAATACTCAGTACTCCCAGAACTTTTGCAGAAAAAGGCATCCAAAAGTGTAGTCATTAAAAGTGCCACTGGTCAGTCAGCTAAGAGGTCTTTCCTCCAACCTTTAGAATGCCAGATTGGGGGACATCATTTAACCCATCAGTTTTTGTATATACCTGAGTGTCCAATGCCTCTCTTAGGTAGAGATATGCTGTCCAAATTGCAGGCCCAAATCACCTTCACTCCTCGAGGTCCAGAAATGAAACTGCCATCAAAGGCAGCAGGAATAATTTCCCTCTCAGTACCTAAGGAACAATCATGGCGCCTAATGTCAGCCCTGCAAGTCCAACCCACATTGGATACAGAATTAAACAAGCTCCTCCGAACCCTACAAGTGCCACCAGGAGTATGGGCTGAAAATAGCCCACCAGGAATGGCTAAGAATATAGCTCCAATTGTAGTAACCCTAAAACCTATGGCTACCCCTGTATCTGTAAAGCAATATCCTTTACCCCGGCGAGCAGCAGAGGGCATCCAGAAACATTTGGACCGCCTATTAAAATATGGTCTGCTTAAGCCCTGCCAATCAGAATGGAACACACCCCTTTGCCTGTTCGGAAGCCTGGGACAGATGAATACAGGCCAGTACAGGACTTGAGGCTCGTGAACCAGGCTATCGAGACCTTGCACCCACATGGACCAAACCCATATACCTTGCTGAGTTTGATCCCACCAGAAGCAACAATTTTTACTGTATTGGACTTGAAAGATGCATTCTTCTGTTGCCGGCTGGCACTACAGAGCCAACCTATATTTGCCTTCCAGTGGGAAGACCCTTTGACAGGAACAAAAGGCCAGCTAACCTGGACAAGATTGCCCCAGGGATTCAAAAATTCCCAACTTTATTTGGCACTGCCTTGGCGAAGGATCTAACAAGTTACCCCTCAATACCTGGAAAAAGGTGGTTCTGCAATATGTAGATGACCTTATACTAGCGGCAAAGGATTTTGATACCTGTAAAGAAGGGACAGAGGAACTGCTCCACTTGCTCTGGGAAGCTGGCTACCGAGCTTCCTAGAAAAGGCACAGTTATGTTTAGAAAAGGTCAAATATTTGGGCTTTGACATCTCACACCAACAACGAGCATTGAGACCAGAGAGGAAAGAAGCTATTTGCCTTATCAAGGAACCTACCACAAGGAAACAACTCAGAGGATTCCTGGGAACAGCAGGGTTTTGTAGACTATGGATACCTGATTTCAGCAGTCTGGCCAAGCCCTTACATGAAAGCACTCGAGGTGCAGAAAAGGACCCATTCGTATGGGGACCTGAGCAGCAACAAGCCTTTTAGTTATCAAACAACGACTTATGGAGGCCCCAGCCCTTGGACTGCCTAATCTGGAAAACCCTTTCAGCTGTATGTACATGAACAGAATGGGATTGCAGCAGCAGTCCTGACCCAGAGATTAGGAAGTTGGAACCGTCCAGTAGCTTATTTGTCAAAACAATTGGACTCAGTAGCAAAAGGATGGCCTCCATGCCTAAGGGCAGTAGCGGCCACTGCAAGCCTTGTCAAAGAAGCTGATAAATTTACCTTTGGCCAGACGATGTATGTGAATGTACCTCATGCTGTTCTGACACTCATGGAATATAAGGGTAGTTATTGGCTAACGAATCCAAGGATGGCTAGATACCAAGGCCTATTGTGTGAAAATCCCAGGATTCATCTACGAGTAGTGAATATGCTCAATCCAGCAACTTTGCTGCCCTACCAGAGGTAGATGATGAAGAATCACATGACTGTCTCCAAATAATGGATGAAGTGTATTCCAGTAGACCCGATCTGAAAGATGAACCATTGAAAAATCCAGATGTTGTATATTATACTGATGGTAGCAGTTACCTGCATGAAGGTGCCAGACGAGCAGGATATGCTGTGGTCACCAATGAGGAAGTTGTGGAAGCTGAAGCTTTGCCTGCTGGCACCTCAGCACAAAAGGCTGAACTTATAGGTTTAACTAGAGCTCTGCAATTGGCAGCCGGATGTAAGGCAAACATCTATACTGATTCTAAATATGCCTTCTTAACCCTGCATGCACATGGAGCTCTATGGAAAGAAAGAGGTCTAATCGGAGCCCATGGGAAGGCCTTGAAATATGGACCTGAAGTAGAAATCCTGTTGGAAGCAGTATGGGCTCCAGAACAGATTGCTGTAATGCACTGCAAAGGTCATGGACGTGGAAGGGATCCAATAACCAGAGGAAATCATGCTGCTGACAAAGCAGCCCGAGAGGCAGCCCAGAAGCCTGTGGGAGGATTTATAGCAGCCCTCATACCAGAGGTAGTTCCAGAAGAAATTAAACCTCACTATACCCCAGAAGAGAGGAAGTGGGCTGAACAGGAAGGAGCGGTTGTGAAGGACGGTTGGATGATCCTGCCGGACAATAGGATTTATGTACCTCATCACCTAGCAGGCACAATTGTAAGAAGTTATCATGAATCTACTCACCTTGGCGGTACTGCAACCAGAGAGAGTCTCAGTCGGAAGTTGTATATTATTAACCTATCACAATTAGCAACTTGCATTTCACAGAAATGTGTTCTTTGTGCTAAAAACAATCCCAGGCAGGGACCGGTACAACCTCCTGGAATCCAACATGTGGGATACGTCCCCATGGAAAGCCTAATTGTGGACTTCACAGAGCTGGTCCCTTCTAAGGGATTCAAGTACCTCCTTGTGTTTGTAGATACCCTTACCGGATGGGTTGAAGCTTTTCCCACCAGGACTGAAAAGGCACGAGAGGTAACTAAGAGACTCTCACTGAATTGATCCCGAGGTTTGGATTACCTAGATGCATTGGAAGTGATAATGGGCCAGCGTTCATTGATCAAGTAGTACAAGAAGTATGTCGAGTCCTACAAGTGAAATGGAGACTGCATGCAGCATATAGGCCCCAAAGTTCGGGGAAAACTGAAAGAATGAATCGGACTCTGAAAACCCAATTGGCAAAATTAACCCAGGAAACAGGATTGGGATGGGTAGATGTGTTACCCATAACACTGTTTCGTGTTCGGTGTGCACCCACAAAAAGACTTAAGTTGTCACCTTTTGAGCTCCTGTATGGGAGGCCACCCTCCTTTGTTCAGGATATTCCAGCTGACCTCAAACAAATAGGAGACCATGTGACACAGGGACAAGTGCAATCTCTCTCCCGTGTTTTTGTTTCTCTTAACAGGTGGGCCCTCGAGCGCACGCCGTGCAGCACTGCCGACCCGACACAACAGATCCCGCCTGCCGATAGCGTATGGGAGAAAGACCGCAAACGTGATCCACTTGCACCTAAGTGGCGTGGGCCTCACACCGTCTAGCACTCTACTCCAACAGCGGTGAAGGTAGCTGAGGTGACCCCTGGATTCATCACTCCCGCTTGAAGAAGTCCAAGGCAGTTGGACGTGCAAAGGTGACCCCTCTAATCCTTTTAAACTGACTCTCTCCAAAAACCCCTGTATCTAGCCCTACGGGGAACGGGCTAGGTCACGGGCAACATTAGACGACCGGCCTGCTGCAGCCACAACCTGGAAGCTGGCTGACCTGCGCACGCCTGAAGCTTGAGGAGCATCTGAACCAGCGATTGTGAACAGGAAGATTCTCTTATACAATTGATTGACTGCCCCCCCCCCCGTGGAACAATTATCAGGGATATTACTCATTGGGGATCCTCGGGATATATGTTTTGGTCTTGGTGGTTCCCATTTCTGTCATTGGGGAATTATATTGGGCCTAATATTTTTTGTTATCACAATAAGGTAATCTTTTGTGGAAGAAATGCATATACTAGACATCAACATGATTTTATTATTAATCCTGATCCCTTGGGAAGGGAAGGGTCCTTGAATCTGACCAAATTTGCTAAATATGGATTCCGCCATGACCACAATATGTGGGTAGGCTTAGCTGAGATGGTAGCCAATGTTACAAATAGGACCAATTGCCTTGTTTGCTCTCTTGGACCAGATGATTCAGAGGGAGGTATGCCCTTATTACCGATACCATTAAATGCCATTGGTATGGTAAGCGAAATGCCACACCAAACAGAAGTACAGAATTCCCCGGATGGAACTCAACTAAACCAATACGAGTTATACCTGTGCAAGGGGAATTCTGTGTACATAAATTATCAGCTGCAGCTGATTCTATCATGATAGGCTCTTCTCATTGCCACTATACTTGGGATTATATTAAGAATAGTCAAACCTGGGCAAACGGTACTACCTATCGAACTCGGAATACCTTGCCCTGTGCACCTCCTTTTATTCATGCATGGAAACTGGTGTGGAACATAACTGTGACAGAAAAAGGCAATCTAACATACTGCACTGTGAACTCTATGCCCCTTTTGATATTTCGCCTTATGCACTCCACGTAACAAAAACCTAAGACACGATGGTTGTGGTGGATATGTGGAGAATGGGCATACAAGCAACTCCCTCCCAAATGGAGTGGGACTTGTTTCCTGGGATGGGTATTACCACCAATGTGGATTATGCCCACTAGTTCGGCAAAGCGTACACGAAGAAACGCTGATATTTCTCATATAGCAGGAGGAAGTACCCAAAGTTGGAGTGATACTGATGATTGGCCACCAGAGCGCATTATAGCCTATTATGAGCCTGCCTCCTGGAATCCTGATGAGCTCATACAAGGGGCACGGGATCCTATTTATAATCTAAACAGAATAATTCGATTGCAAGCAGTAGTGGAACTTGTAACCAATGCAACGGCCCAGAGTTTGAGACTTATTGCACAACAGTTGGATGAAAGTAGAGCCGCCATTTTGCAGCTGAAAATGGGAATGGATTATGTACTTGCCAGGCAGGGAGGCCTATGTGGAGTCTTAAACTTGACAGGGAATGCCTGTTGCTTTAACATTTCTGATAATGGTGAGGCAATCCGTGTGTTGGCCACAAAGATGGAGAGTATAGCACATGTCCCAGTACAAATATGGGAAGGATGGGATATGGGATGGCTCACCAATTGGTTACCTAATGTTGCGGGACTCAAAGGGATACTATTGTCTTGCTTGTTTTTCTTGACGGTAGTAGTAATGGTTTTATGTACGGTGCCATGTATCATTTCATGTTTTAGAAGTACAATTAGCAAGATGATTTCAAATGAAACTTTACCTCATATTATGGCCCTATACAGAGCTTTACCTCAGGAATATGACGAAGGTCAAGCTATCAAGGACACTTGGGATGAAGGTCCTTGAGCTTGAAAGGGGGGAATGAGGCATCTGATCAAAATCTGCTTTGAGCTTAAAAAATTATATTTGTAAATATATTTTTCTCTCATGCAAGGGAGAAGAGCAGCTGAATACTCCGGCAGCTGTTCAAGGGCCCCACTGCTATAAATAGCAGTATTTCAGGGTTGTAAAAAGTATTTCAAGGTTGTAAAAGGAAATTAGAGCCAGAGAGCAAAAGGTCACACTGACCAGAATACAATCAAGCTGTAAAAACACAATTAAGAACTGGTAAATAGTGAAATTTATTGTTTAACAGAAGACTCTAGCCATAAGGTTAAAGGTTAAATGGAAGAGGTTGCTCTTAGAAACAGCTGCTGGTTAGGGAAAAGGCCTCTCTCCAAACTGTTTTGAAGCTTCAGAGAATTTACTAAGTTCCTTCTAATTTGAAAAGGCCTTTCCTTCTAAAAATCTATCTATGTTATGTATGAAATATATTGGCTTAAATGTAATTATGCAAAGGATTTAGAAAGTAAGAAATGTTAGATTCTTATGTTAGATTCCTATTATGGTGGGTGAGAAGGTGAACTCAAGATCTCTTTAAGATAAAAAATTAGAAACCATGCACCATCTGCTTTAGCCATCTGGTTTGCGGTGAATAGGGCAACAGGGGCCAAAGGTTATCTGGTAATTGAGGTGCCTGGTCGAGGTAAATGTAAGATATATGGCTACTTGTCTGCCATTTATGGATACAAGGAAATATAGCTTTTGTCTCCCATAAAAGGGAATAGGAAATGGGTGTATCTTTTATGATTGGTTCTAGCAAACAACCAATAGGAATTTCAACCAGGCTGATTGGACAGAGGCAGCCAAAGGAGGAGCAAGGGGGCTGGGCTGAGGAAATATAAGTGCTGGCCATCAGGGCTGGAGTAGGCAGAGCTTTGGTATCCATATACCACTGTGTCTCTCATTTATTTGTCTGACAAATAAATTATTATTTTAATTTCTCTATTGCTGCGTTGAATATTTCATTCCAGCTAAGCGTTAACCACAAGCAGGGTGCTACAATGTGAGAGACTAGGGTTCAAATCCACTCTCGGACATGAACTTCACTGGGTGACCTTGGGCCAGTCACCAACTGCCTCAGTCAAACCTCACAAGGTTGATGTGATGATAATATTGGGAGGAGGGAAAGGATGTAGGCCACTTTGAGCTCCTTGAGTGAAAGGTGGCAGGTAAAATGTAATAAAGAGACAAGCTATACGTGGCCCCTTTTTGATAGCTCAATCCTACATATTTACTCGGAAGTCCTAATGAGTTAGTGGGTATAGGATCACTGCCAGAGTTATGCAGGCAGGAGCTTGCATGAAGCATTTTGCAGCAGGAGTAGTTGGGGGGGGGGAGAGAGACACCTCCTCAGTGGATGTTCATATTCAGGATGCTACCAGCAACAAATTATTTAAAGAGATGGGTATGGCAGAAGGTTGAGGGGACAAAAGGGAACACCAAGCAAACAAAAATGCAGACACCAACCAAAGTACTTGATACTGAAATATGTATTTTCATTTAAAAGTTTTATTTAAAAAAATAGAGTGTTTCTCAGTCATTGAAACACTTCAGTTAAGCTACTGGTAAACATACTCAAATCCCTGAGTTTGAGGGTTACATTATTCTCAGAACCTTGCAACTCAGTCTTGGAAGATGATACCATTGAGTTTTCATACGAACTGATCTGCGAGCAAGTTTCACATAGGATTTATTTATTTTGTATATCCTACTCTTCAACCCCCAGAGGAGCTCACAAATCAAGAAAATTAAAAAACAAGCAACCCGCCCCCAATACAATAAATAATTACAAAACGGCAGAACAATAACATTAAATATCAAAACCAGAACAAAAACAGTATCTAAATATCCTTCTTAAAAAAAAAAATGTTTTCACGTGGTGCTGAAAAGATAAGAGTGTCAGAACCAGGTAAGCTTTCTTTAGAAGACCATTTCAAAGATAAGGAGTCACCAATTATAAGGCCCTACCCTTGGATCTCCACCAACCTTGCCTTCAATGACCGGCATCTGAATTATAGCCTCTGTTCCCTACCAATGCCTACTTAGTTCAACTATCTTATTTTTCTCTGACCCTTATTTTCCTTTGCCAAGTTTTAAAAACAGGACTCCAAATCCCGCAGGAACAGAGCAGCAACAATTAGTGCAAAAATAAAAATAAAAAATCAATTTCTGCCATTTATTCCAAGTCCAGAAGTTTGGGAGTTATTAGTGTAGATTTCTAGATCCCATGGCTGGCTTGAAAGTCGCATTCTGATCAGTGTTGCAAGGACATAACTTTCCTTCAGTGGCATTTACCCGGCTGGAGAGAGAAGATGGGACTTTCCAGGGAGACTTTGAAAAAAACAAACCCACCCATTAGTCAGCTTTGCCCAGGCAAGTCTCAAGAGCATATTCACTCCTTCATCACAGTTTTAAGAGCAGTGGCACTGGCTCATGGTACTGGAGAATGGCTAGTCAAGCTGCAGATCAAATATCTCTTCCTGGGCCACAATGCTTTCCTACAGAGAAAGAAAGAAAAATCATTAGTTGTTTCCATAGTACCTTTACTATAATGCATTTTGCATCTTTTTACTAGGGCTGTGTGATATCTGGTTTTCAGCATCGTGATATATCAGCAGCTAAATATACTAATATAGTGCCATGTCTGGAATGCATCTCGGCTGCTTCTTCCTCCCACATCGCCTGGCCTCAGCCTTTCTGTGCCTTAGTTGAGCAAGCTGCATTGTAACCAGAGGGATTTTCCCAGTCTGCGCCTGCTCTATGGTTTGCTGCCGCCTGGAGGAGGCAGGCGAGAGCTGAGCCGGCAGAGCAACAGACAAACATTCCTCTGGCCTCGAGCAGTTTATCATCAGGGCAAATATTTTGAACTGGTTATCAAGATGTGGATTTAAAACCAGTGTTCAACAATCTATCATCATATCGCCCAGACCTAACCATCACATTTCTCAGCCAGGAGCACCTCACACCTACAAACTGGGACCCCCAGAGACAGCATCCTTTTATAGCCAGCCAGAACTGGACCCTTTTATATGGTGTTGCTTAGTACCTGCCCTCCAGCACAGGCAGTGTAGAAGGCAAGAACTGACTGAGAGGCAACAGAGCTATAGGCTCCAGGCCAAATGACTACAGATTTAAGGCTCTCCAATTGTGGGGCAGAGTCAAGGAGAAACAGGCAGCCATTGGCTCTCTAGATATTGCTGAGCTGCAACTCCCATCAATTCTGGCCATGCTTGCTGGGGCTGATGGGAACTGTAGTTCAGAACATTGCAGGAGCACCTGATCTAGAGGAATTAAAAGCCTTGGTTATGCTCCAGGCTTTGTTGGAAGAGGTTGCCTGTTGGAGCGATCCAAAGTACTGTACTGATCTTACTTGCCGCTGGATCGACGAACAGTCGCAATCCTAACCATGTCTACTTAGAAGTAATTCCTGTTCAGTTCAGTGGGGCTTATTTCCAGGTAAGTGGGGTTCAACTCGCACTCAGGCCGTTGTGCTTTGCAGGCTCTCAGACCCTGAGATCATCTTCTGAGGCCCTCCTTCATGTGCCTCCTCCTCGAGAGCTGCGGAGGGTGGCAACACAAGAACGGGGCCTTCTCTGCAGTGGCTCCCCGTCTGTGGAATGCTCTCCCCAGGGAAGTTTGCCTGGCGTCTTCATGATACACCTTTAGGCACCAGGCAAAAGCGTTCCTTTTTAACCAGGCCTTTGGTGGATCGGACTGACATCTTATACCCTTTTAAAATGTGGCTGTTTTGGGGCGGCGGCATTATTGGGTTGTTGTTTTTATTTTGATTATGGATTTTGTGGTTTTATATTTTGATTTTATTCTGTGAATTGCCCTGAAACCTCCGAGTATAGGACGGTATATAAATTCAATAAATAATAATTATAATTATTATGCTGGACACTTGTGACGCTCCTGTTCAGTAGATCACTTAGTTCCATTTTACAGATGTGGAACCGAAGATAAAGAGGGAAAAGGCTAAGCTACAAAGTGCGTCTTTTTGTGAGAGAAAGCTACGTCTTGCCACCTATGGCGAGATCACAGCCAAGCATTTTTCCAGAACCCCATGTCAGTCTTGATTCAAGTTGCCTCATGGACAGCATTTGGACTACCAGCATAGTGTAGTGGTTAAGAGCTGTAGACTCGTATTCTGGGGAACCGGGTTCGAGTCTCCGCTCCTCCACATGCAGCTGCTGGGTGACCTTGGGCTAGTCACACTTCTTTGAAGACTCTCAGCCCCACTCACCTCACAGAGTGTTTGTTGTGGGGGAGGAAGGGAAAGGAGAATGTTAGCCGCTTTGAGACTCCTTCGGGTAGTGATAAAGGTAAAGGTAAAGGGACCCCTGTCCATTAGGTCCAATCGTGGCCGACTCTGGGGTTGCGGCGTTCATCTTGCTTTACTGGCCGAGGCAGCCACCGTTTGTCCGCAGACAGCTTCCGGGTCATGTGGCCAGCATGACTAAGCCACTTCTGGCGAACCAGAGCAGCACACGGAAACGCCGCTCACCTTCCCGCTGGAGCGGTACCTATTTATCTATTTGCACTTTGTGCTTTCAAACTGCTGGGTTGGCAGGAGCAGGGACCGAGCAACGGGCGTTCACCCCGTCGCGGGGATTCGGACCGCCGACCTTCTGATTAGCAAGCCCAAGAGGCTCAGTGGTTTAACCCACAGCACCACCTGTGTCCCATCTTCTTCTTTTTTAAAATGTTTACTACTTTTGAATGCACTATCAACTGGGACTCAAGCCCAGCCTATGAAGAATCCATAGCCAGACATGCCACAACACTTACCCAGCCCCCTTGCTGCTGTAGCCAGGGCACAAACATGTCCATATACTGCAGACTGTAGCCCATGAGGGTGTGCACTGCATGGCTGTTGATACCGGCCACTTTTCGTGTGAGCTCCATGGTGAGCGCCAGCTTAGCCAGCTGGGGGCTGGGGAGACCAGCGGGGGCACGTGAGGTGAAGGCCTCGGCCAGGCGAGAGAAGCTGCGGTAGGACAAGCGGGATAAGGTGTTGCGTAGCAGTGGGTCGGCCTCAATCTGCCAATCACAGGAAGGGAGAAGAACCATTAAGAGTTGCCCGGGTGACTCGCCTGAAGGACAGTTGCAAATTCCAATCAGAAAGACACTCCTAAGTATTCACTGAGAACCAATAATGTGCTTAGATAAGGTGCGCAGGCCTGCCTTAGGGCTGATTTGCATTTCTGCTACTTTCCAAAATTTCATGTGCTACTTGCGAGATGCTCACCCATTGAAAAGCCAAATACAGTGGTACCTCGGGTTAAGTACTTAATTCATTCCGGAGGTCCATTCTTAACCTGAAGCACCACTTTAGCTAATGGGGCCTCCTGCTGCCGCCGGAGCACAATTTCTGTTCTTATCCTGAAGCAAAGTTCTTAACCTGAAGCACTATTTCTGGGTTAGCGGAGTCTGTAACCTGAAGCGTATGTAACCTGAGGTACCACTGTAAAGTGGGAGGTGGTTTCCCTTACAGAGGTACAAGCAGGGACATATGAGCTATTTCCAGACCCAAACTGTTTTTGTAAATGCCTTGAGTGGAAAAGGAAGAACTAGCCTGCCCCATGGGTGTAGCCAGGTTTTTTGCTGGGGGCGGGCAGGCTTTTGTTAGGAGAGACAGAACTGCAGATTTGTATTGATCTGGGGGGCAGCTGCCCCCCTACTGCGCCTTTGGCTAGACCCATGGCCTGCCCTGTTTTCTTAAGAATCAATGCCGTCAGGGCAGCTGTGCATATGACAGGCAGAAGGAACAGTAGAAGACAATACTGCTGGCTATCAGTTGTGGGTGGCACATTCTAAGAAGTGGCATTGACAAAATTGTCTCTTGCAACAACACAGCTCCTTTGCAAACTGGTAAATAAAAGTTTAGCTCAACAATGTGAGCAAGAGAAGCTTTGCAAAAGCGGACTGGGGCATATAAAGATAGCAATGCAAAAGGCATGCGCAGAGAAATTTGAACTGTGGCTACCCAGAAGCCTGTGGCTACGATGTTCAGTGGGGCTTATTCCCAGGTAAGTGTGCCTAGGAGATTGCAGCTTCAATGTCTTCGCCTTAGGTAAGGTAAAGGACCCCTGGACGGTGAAGTCCAGTCAAAGGCGACTAGGGGGTGTGACACTCATCTCACTTCAGGCCTCGCAAAGGAGCCAGTGTTTGTCCACAGACAGCTTTCCGGGTCATGTGGCCACCATGACTAAACTGCTTCTGCTGCAACAGAACACTGTGGTGGAAGCCAGAGCGCACGGAAATACTGTTTGCCTTCCCACCACAGCAGTACCTGTTTATCTACTTGCACTGGTGTGCTTTTGAACTGCTAGGTTGGCAAAAGCTGGGACAAAGCAACGGGAGCTCACTCCGTCGCAGGGAATCGAACCACTGACCTTCCGATCACCAAGCCTAAGAGGCTCAGTGGTTTAACCCACAGTGCTACATATGACAACAGGACGATTCCTAGGCTGCAGTCTTATGCATACTTAACTTAATAGTAAGCCCAAAACACACTTCTAAATAAACATGGGAAGAGGAAAGAGAGAAAACACAAGGGGTGAGTTTGCTTGGAAGAGGAGGAAGAAGGTACGCTAACAGGTAAGTAGAGAGCAGGGACAACACTTGCTTTCACTTGCTAACCTTATAAACTAACAGCAACATTCCTCTCTAAATGCGGGTCCTTCAGTAGCCATCCATTGATAAGAGGGGGATATCAGCAGGCTTGGGGAAACGCCAAGATTTGTAGAAGTACAAAAAAAGTTCAGGAAAAAGTCTGAAGGAGGGGAATTCCCCAAAAAGGATAATGAGGGTTCAGTGGCCACAAAATTTTGGATAATTCTTTAGAGTTGCAGGGAGAAAACTGGGATGCAAGGCAAAGGAGCAGAATAGAACGGCATATCCTGAAAAAGGGCCGGGCCGGCAGACAGGAACATTCCACACTGCAACAGTTTTGCCACAGGCCTGGCTTATACCTCCTTATTGATGATTCCGGCCTTCTCTTCCAGAAGGGCAACCAGTTTCTGGAGGATTTGCTCTTTCTGTTTCTCCTCCAAGTCTCCTGGCAGCTCCTCTGAGATAACTGTGAGCAGAAAAAACCAGTCCAATTCAGAGATGCAACGTGGATGTGACAAAACAAATCGTTCTGAGGAAAGAGGGATCTGAAGATGGCTTTGGGCCTAGATAATGTATTTGGAAGGTCATTATTCATTGGAGCCTCTCTCTGAAGTGGTGGGACCTAACTATGGTTTCCATGCTTGATAAAAATCAATTCAAAAAATTAAAAATTAAAAAATTAAAAATAACTTACATTGGCTTTTTTAAAAAAAATGGATTTTTTAAATTTAAATTGGATTTTTAAAATAAAATGCTTTTGGAGGAAAAATCTTTCTAAAGATAGTTTTCTATTTAAGTTACATTATAGTCCAAAGGCTATTCATCAGGAAATAAGGATTTGTTTTAAGTTTTTCATGTGTGCTAAAACTCAGTCTAAGTTTTTTTTTTTAAATCGTTTAACCACATCAGTTAACAAACATGGATACATATGCTATAACGTTATTGTTTTACTTAAATAAATTGTTTAAATTGTTATTAAGGAAATGATTATTTTCCTCCTTCCAATAAAGTGCAGCAGAAAAGTTGTCCAAATATAAACAATAATTTCATAATTACCTGTCTTTGAATTTCTAATAGTATAACCAAATCAGCAATTTTTGATATAACTGTAAAAACTACTCTGAAAATTTATTATTCCAAAAACGAAACCTTCATCTGGTTGTAAATATTAAGATTATACCAGCAAGAATGAGTCTTTCTGTAAAAAAATGATTTCAATCAAGTCTTACTGACTAGTGATTTAAATTGTGATTTAAATCAATTTGACTTAAATCAAATCCACTTTGATGGATTCCCCTTGTTACTTCCTTCCCTGCCCCTCCCCTTGTGTTGCAGCACCGTCCCAACACTGGGAGCACTGCACAAACTAAGATGCTTGTGGGTGCTAATTCTTATGACATATTTGGCCAGGAAAGAAGAAGGGATTAAGATGCAATCTCTATTACCCAGCGGTGAAGGTACAACCACAAGGAACTCAATCCCATACCTGGAGTGCTGGGTAAAGTGCCACCCGTGGGAAGTATGCTGATTTCATCTGTGGGAAAAGGCAAGCTTTTGGCCACCAAAGGACTGGTCAGCTGTTGCTGCTTGACCAAGTGGTCCAGTTTCTGGGCCACCAAGGTATACAACTCAGCATTCTCAGCCTCACCACCTGCAACAAAAGAACAGAAAGCTGTTAAGGAGCTGAGGAAAGCCAAATTCTGCACTGCAGAGAGAGCCACCGGTTAGCAAGGCAACAAAGGATAAGTTACCGTATTTTTCGCTCTATAGGATGCACCGGACCATAGGAGGGGGAGAACGGGGGGGGGGGATTCTCCCCCTCTCTGCTCAGCGCCCCTTCAACGAAGCGGCAGGAGAAACGGAGCCCCTTCCATTTCTCCTCCCGCTTCGCTGAAGGGGCGCTACACAGAGAGGGAAAACTGTGCAGCGCCTCTCCAGCGAAGCGAAGCCTAGAGAGCAAGAGGGATCGGTGTGCACCGACCCCTCTAGCTCTCCAGGCTTCAGGCGGCTATCCACTAGCCTTCTGAGTGCAGCGAGAACTCCTGCTGCGCTCCGAAGGCTTGCGGATAGCTGCCTGAAGCCTCCGGAGCGCAGCGGCAGTTCACAGCGGCAGCTTCCCCCGACCCCAGCCCTCAGAACAGGTCAGGGAGCGGTGGCAAGGTTGCGCGCAGCCTTGCCTCAGCTCCCGAGGCTGGGGGAAGCCCAAGCCCTGACACCAGCCCCCAGAACAGGTCGGGGAGCGGTGGTCCCTTCTCCCTCCTGGGGAAAAGCCTGCAAGAGCCGCGTGAAGCTTGTGTGCGGCTCTTGGGGGCTTTTCCTGCCTGCCTCCCCCCTGCATTCACTCCATAGGACGCACAGACTTTTCCCCTTAGTTTTTAAGAGGGAAAAAGTGCGTCCTATGGAGCGAAAAATACGGTATGTGACATGCTAGCAAAAGCTGATTATCTGCAACAAGGCTAACTTCTGTTGGTGAAAGGATAGGCAAGCTTCTGAGTTGCACAGGAGTCTTCAACAGGCAGAAAAAGAAAGACAAGTCAGTTCTCACCCACAGAACCAAGTAGCTACTATTAGTGAAGACATGGTTCCCCCCCCGTGGGCATTTGACAAAAAACCCACACTGGACCTGGAAGTGTATGACCCCCCCATTGTTCAATGCGGACACTGAGGTCCAGCGCTGAGGGCCTTTTGGCAGTTCCCTCATTGCAAGAAATGAAGTTACAGGGAACCAGGCACAGGGCCTTCTCGGCAGTGGCGCCCTTCCTGTGGAATCCCCTCCCACCAGATGTCAAGGAGATAAGTAACTATACAGCCTTTAGAAGACATCTGAAGGCAGCCCTGTATAGGGAAGTTTTTAATGCTTAATGATGTTTTTGCATATGCTAGAAACTGCCCAGAGTGACTGGGGCAGGGTACAAATAATAAAATTACGATTATTATGACAACTGCTACCTACCCACTTTTTAGGGAAGCTGCTCAAAGGGGGGGGAGGGTTGGCCGCTCAGCTTCAAATGCTCTTGGATAAAATTGATTATCTGGACCCATTCCAGTCTGGTTTCAGGCCTGGTTAAGACCAACTCAGCCTGGGTTGCCCTGACCAGGGATATTTATTGGGAGAGGGAGAGGAGGACTGCGAACCTCTTAATTTCCCTTGATCTCTCTGCAATTTTTGATATCATTGATATCATGGTATCTTGCTGGATCAGCTTTGGAAATTAGGAGCCCAGCAATACAGCGATTCCACTCATGAAAGACTCATTTGAGGCAAGTTCCACTAGGTTTACAGGACGCGGGTGGCTCTGTGGGTTAAACCACAGAGCCTAGGACTTGCCGATCAGAAGGTCGGCGGTTCGAATCCCCGCGACGGGGTGAGCTCCTGTTGCTCGGTCCCTGCTCCTGCCAACCTAGCAGTTTGAAAGCACATCAAAGGGCAAGTAGATAAATAGGTACCGCTCCGGCGAGAAGGTAAACGGCGTTTCCGTGCGTTGCTCTGGTTCGCCAGAAGCAGCTTAGTCATGCTGGCCACATGACCCGGAAGCTGTACGCCGCTCCCTCGGCCAATAAAGCAAGATGAGCGCTGCAACCCCAGAGTCGGTCACGACTGGACCTAATGGTCGGGGTCCCTTAACTTTTACCGCTAGGTTTGATGGCGCTACCCACAAATAGGCAATAAAGAGGGAGCTTTTGTCTTTTTGTTTTTTTCCAAAAAAACAAACAAACTAGCACAGCTTCAAATAGCAAGAGAAAGCAACTTCGTTCTGACTAGCTCTGGACTTGAAGGCTCGACATCCCGGAATCAAATCTTTGCTCAACATGGACTTTGGCAAGCGAAAACACTTTACCCTTCCTTCAAGAAGTCCAAGGCACCACCCCTTTAAAAATGTTTATAACTGGGTGAGGCATGGAGCCAGGACCTCTGTCTCTGAAGCAAGAAGGACTCTAGATAATAAATGAAGGCCAGAGAGGTGGCATTTCCTTACCACTCCCTTGGGGCACCCGTTGCTCCGACGGGTGTTTCCGACAGTAGCAGTTGACAACAGGCAGGGAGTCTGGGCGCTGGAGAGTCCCACCAGGGCTTGTCGTCTCCCCCGAGGAAGATCCCTTTTTCCGCAGGATGTTCTTGAGGGAGAAGGAGCGCTTCTGGCGGCCGCCTTCCCCAATCTCCCCTCCTGCCTTGGACCTCTTTAAGGAGCCCGTAGAAGGCGGCACATTGTCCGGCGGGGTTCGCGGACTAGGCCTCCGCTGCAGTAGACGCTTGATGCTGGTGCGGAAGCTATGCTTTTTTTCGTCGGCGCAGTTATTTTCCTCATGGGCAGAGCTCCAGGCTGGACAATCCTGGAAGTGTTCTGTTGGGGAGCTGTGGGGAGTGAACAGCGATAGAAAACGTGGTATTATGGCGAGAGTCTTAATAGCAAAAGGATGGAAGAACAAAGAAACCCCGACTAAAGAATTATGGCAAGAGAAACTGATGGACAATGCAGAATCGGCAAAATTGACACATAAACTACGGGACAAGGATAACTGTGACTTTAAAGATGAATGGGAACCTTTTACAAAGTATTTAAAGAAGCAACAAAGTGAACTGGACTCCTTGGCAGGTTTTGAATAAACACTCACAAACTTTTTATTGATAATAATCAGTTAGATAAATTAAGGATTTATACAATTTTGTAACATGCAGAGAATAGCATTTACAGAGAAACCAGAGATGGGAACTGAGGCAAGTCGGGGGGGGAGGGGAGGGTGAATTGTTTTATGGGGGGGGAATTAAGGATGATATGTTGTAAGATAATATGTTTTGTTTAAATTCCTAATAAAAAATATTTTTAAAAAGGAAAGAAAATGTGGTATTTTAAAATGTATATTTGGCTCTCGGAGCGGCATACAAAAGATGAACAGGTTAAATCTGTAATGAAACAACAGGCAAAAAGACTTGGGACATAATATACAAATGGCAGGTTGGGAGAGGCTGTGGAAAACAGAACTAAAATTCATGGAATGTTGTTCACGGAAAGGAAATTAGATGAAAATGATGTATAGGTGGCATCTGACACCTGCCAAGTTAGCAAAAATGTACAGAACAAGTTCAAATATTTGCTGGAAATGTAAAGAAAAAGAATATACCTTTTATCCTATGTGGTGGACATGTAAAGTAATGAAAAATTTCTGGGAGATGATATACGATGAAATGGAAAAAAATGTTTAAAATAACTTTTGTTAAAAAACCAGAAGCTTTTTTACTAGGAATTATAGGTACCGAGATACCAAAGGATCAGAAAAGATTGTCTATGTATGCGACAACAGCCACACGGATGCTACTAGACCAGAGATGGAAGGAAGAAACTACCCCAACCAGAGAAGAACGGCAAGTTAATGGCAAAATTAACTGGGAAGCTCAGAAATCAAGAAGACAAAAACTTTAATAAGAAATGGTGGAAGTTTATAATTTATTTACAAGACAGGTTAAAGCAGGTTAAAGCATTAGCTGGATTTTAACCACACTTGTAAAGAAATGGAAAGTATGGATAATTTAGAAGGATTAAAAATTTGGATAAGTATTGATATGCAGTTGTAGACAATACTGTTGGGACCCATGGAAGGGATGGGGGAAAGTCAAAAGATTCAGAGTAATCTCGATATTTGGCTTCGAAACTGTTTTTTAATTACATGTTTATACTTTTCAAAATCAAATAAAAAAACTATAGAGAGAAAGAAAATGTGGTATCTTAAGCACATCTCCTCAGAAGTAAATCCCACTTTGTTCAATGGGATTTACTCCAAGGTAAGTGGATCCAGGACTCTAGCTTTGGACCTTTGACCCGCCACCAACAACCGAGTACTTTCTTTTTTTCATATATTTATTTCCTCGCCAACATGTGTTTTCCAGGATAGCTAACAATTAAACTAAAGCAGTTGAAACAGCGAAGCAATAAGAGCAGCAGCAGTAGTTATATTATTTACCCACCCACCCCCAAAAATAAATAGCAGTAAGATTAAAAAACCTATCAACAGCATCTAGAAGTTTTATCTAGCAAATAAAAATGTGTCCCTTTGGTATTGAAAAGAGAACTATGGTAAGTTGGCACCACAGAGGACTCTTCAAGCAGAGGGATTTCAAGGATAGGGTGCCAACACTGAAAAGGTCCTACTTCAAGCAAGGCTGGCCCTACCATTAGCCAGAGTGAGACAGTCACCTCTGGTGGCACATTCTGAGGAGCAGAGAGTAGAAGCTAAATGTGAAAGAGAGAAGTGTGTGTAACACATGAGCCCCTAAATTAGCCTGCTACCCCTCAGACACAGCAGAGGGATGCTGTCCCATCACCAGTGAAGTAAGTTTCAACTGTCAGTCCACTCACTATCTGCATTTGGATTGGACGGGTCCACCGCCATCTTGCCATTTTCCTCAGACAGAAAAAATGTTTCCTCTCTAGTCATAAAGATACACAGCATTGGATCTTTCGTACAAAAGGTGAAAGCTGAGAGTCACTGTACTGCAGAACATCCTAAAACTATGAAAGTCTGCATCAGCATAATATTATACTGTATTAATTTGCTCTCTTAGCCCACACACAAAAAGAAGCCAAATGCCACAGAAGATTTTGTAAATCGGAACATGAAACGTCTCCATTGTAAACAGCCTTCATAATCAAGATATTATGGTTTGGGGCAGACTACAGTGGTACCTCGGGTTACATACGCTTCAGGTTACATACACTTCATGTTACAGACTCCGCTAACCCAGAAATAGTGCTTCAGTTTAAGAACTTTGCTTCAGGATAAGAACAGAAATCGTGCTCCAGCGGCACGGCAGCAGCAGGAGGCCCCATTAGCTAAAGTGGTGCTTCAGGTTAAGAACAGTTTCAGGTTAAGAATGGACCTCCGGAACAAATTAAGTACTTAACCCGAGGTACCACTGTACATTGGAGTGCTGTTATACACAGTGTCTGAATTTCAGTGTTGCGAAGCCACATAAAATGGTTTGGTCATTATTGTATAGTCCATTTGCCATAGACTTGTTCTTTATAAAGTTTTGAAATCTTTTCATACCTATGGTTTAGGGAGGAAACACATGTTTATTAAGTGCCTGAGGCAAGTAGTGTCTTGAAGCCAGGGTTAGGCCAGGGCATTTTGCTAAAGAACAAACAGTCCCGGGCCAGCCTTGACCTCAAGACACCACCTGCCTTACCTCAAAGGTGACCCAAAAAAGAGCTTTTGAATGTGATATATCATGTTTTATTCTAGCTCCCACTTTTCTTACCTCCCAGATTGAAAACCACAACTTTCTTCCCAGCTCTCTCCCACCCAGGAGAATTCAATATAATTGTTTCTCCCAGGAATGCAGCCCAGATCCCAACTCAGAATCTGACACCGGAAAATACGGTGGTTTAGTATGGGGTTTTATTTTAAGCCTTGTTTTAAGACAGCTGGGAGTAACATTCTTTTTTTTTTTTACAGAAAGACTCATTCTTGCTGGTACAGTGGTACCTCAGGTTAAGTACTTAATTCATTCCGGAGGTCAGTTCTTAACCTGAAACTGTTCTTAACCTGAAGCACCACTTTAGCTAATGGGGCCTCCTGCTGCCACCGTGCAGCTGGAGCACGATTTCTGTTCTCATCCTGAAGCAAAGTTCTTAACCTGAGGTACTATTTCTGGGTTAGCGGAGTCTGTAACCTGAAGCGTATGTAACCTGAAGTGTATGTAACCCGAGGTACCACTGTATAATCTTAATATTTACAACCAGATGAAGGTTTCGTTTTTGGAATAATAAATTTTCAGAGATGGGAAGTACCTATGGGGAATTGCTAAGTCTCAGCGTGCGTGATCCATATTGCTGTGGCTGCGACTTCTTTTAGAAAAAAAAGCGTTTGTGATTCACTTCTGCTGCCTTGATTCTTGGACACAACAGAAGATCTTGTCCCCTTCCAGGAAACCCAGAACCTCTGCCTGGACTCGCCCCTGAATTTTCCGCATTTCATTTCCTCCAAGCTGAACCACAACATTTCTCCTCCGAAGACTCCTTTACCTGTGCATGTAACTTGTAGGATCGTAATAACTCCCGCCCACGTGACCTAGGGACTCCACCTCTCCATCTCTTAGCGCCCTTTGCAGGAATGCTTCCAGCACCCTCCGGGTCTCTTCTTCCACCTGCCTTTTTGGCGGCAGCGGGCTCCCTGCCATGAGTCTATCGTGCTGCAGAGATAGGCTGGCGTTCAAAGAGAAGAGACAAGTTTCTCACCACACCTACCAGCAGCCCTGGAAGAAAAAGAGCAACAACACATTAGCCTTCCCTCCCTTTTTCTCACAGCCCTTTCTATCCTGCTCCCTTTCATTCATATTATTGATTGCCATACCTCCCCCCTCTCCCTCCCCGCAACACATATCCTTTGTACAGTGGTACCTCAAGTTACATACGCTTCAGGTTACATACACTTCAGGTTACAGACTCTGTTAACCCAGAAATAGTGCTTCAGGTTAAGAACTTTGCTTCAGGATGAGAACAGAAATCGTGTGGCAGCAGCAGGAGGCCCCATTAGCTAAAGTGGTGCTTCAGGTTAAGAACAGTTTCAGCTTAAGAATGGACCTCCGGAACGAATTAAGTACTTAACCCGAGGTACCACTGTATATACACCAAGGACCTTTCGTTCACGTTCTTCTATCCCCACTGGAATCATACGATTTATTTCAGAGGCTTCCAGTTTAGCTGCCTGCTCAAACACAAGGCAATCTATTCACCAGCCAGTCCCTCATGGATTTAACCCATGAAATCCAGACCCAAATCATGCCACCACAGAGAACAAAATAACCCCAGACATTTCAAGCTAAGTAAGCCAACCATGGTAAACAAGCTGTTGTCACTGTTGGTACATCCTATGGGAAAGTACCTCACTCCAGCAAAAACAGGTGTTCTTCTTCCTCCTCCACCTAACACTTTCTTTAAAGCCAGGTTGCAATCCCTGCCCTTGCTAACCTCAACCGGCATCTTGGGGTTTTTTCCACTCAAGCGGCATATAATTTTTATGAAATAAATCAAAACAAACCAATAATATCATTCCTGATCGATCCATAGAAGCAGCAGCCATTCCCCGCCCCCCAAAACACACACCAGGGGTGCCAACTTGAATAAAATATTGAGGGTGGGGCAGGTTGCAAGACTTGGCACACACACAGCTTTTGAATGGCAATGCCCCATCTGTGCCCCGGACCCCTCAAATATTTTATGGGGGGCAGCCCCCAGGAATTGGCTCCTGTGCCCCACACAAACACCAGCCCACCGTCTCTGCCCCCTTACCACCCGACACCCCGGTTTTTCCCCAGCCTGGTAGTACATTCCTAGACATGTCTACTCGGTAGTAAGTCTGAATTTCTCCCACCCTCTTTGCCTATCCCAATTCCCCCATCACTTTTCCCCATCACATCTCCCCGGAATTTGGGGGCTGCGTATGGGAGACTCCCCCACTACCTTAGAATCCCACGGTCGCGTCTCTATCCCGGAGGCTCGCTCGGTCCGCACCTGAAACAGAAGCCCGGCAAAAGCCGGAGAAAAGTTTGATGCTCCTCCGGCAAACTTCCTAGCCACTTCTGCAGCAGGAAAGATTTGCACATGCGCCTTCGCCACCTTAAGTTCAGTTTCGGTCCCGCTTTCGTCGATAGCGGCGGGCGTGGGGGGGCTGTACAGTTGTCGGGGGCGGGGCTTCGATTTAACCCCTGCTGGGCGTTGCGATGACGTGTAGCGTTCTGGAATCAAAGCGGGAATCCACAGAATGAATTGTGCGCGAAAAAGGAATCCTCGAAAGCGGAGGGTGTCCATTCTTCCATAAAATATCATTAAGTTCTTCTGTTTTAGCTGTTAGCTTTGCTGATTCAGCACAATCCGTGACTTTGCTTCTCCATTCTTCTTTGGTGGGAACTTCTTCATCTTTCCATTTCTGTGCATAGAACAATCGGCAATAAGATAAAATCTGATGTTGCTCACTGAGGGCTTAGTAAGAGAAAGAATTGTAATAACAATAAAGCTTCTGGAAGACTTTTTGCACCATTAGGTGAGTGTGAAAGACCGAATTGAACTGGAGAGAAGAGTTTTGATTTTTAATAAATCCTTCTTTTCTTCCGGGGAGCTCAGGCTCTTCCCCATCCCATTTTAAAGCAACCCTTTGAGTGTCAGGGGACTTGGCTGTTTTTGCACAATAGCAGGAACCGTGAAGTTGAAATTTCAGCAGCATAACCCGTAAGAGTCCATAATATGTATTTTTCTCCCCATCATGGTGCCCATTCTCGAAGAGGGTGAATTGCTATTTACTATTATTATAAATTTTTATACCATTTAATGCCAAAACAGGCTTCTGGGCAGTTTTACGAGGAGAAAAAGCGGTTACACAAACAAGGACACGCACACATTTAAAACACACTGCTTCTCTCCCAAAGAATCCTGAGAACTGTAGTTTAGCCCCGTCCCAGAGCTACAACTCCCAACGCCTGCAAACTACATTTCCCAGGATTCTTTGGGAGCAAGCCGTTCGCTTGCAAGGTTATGTTGTGCGCGCAGTTACACAGCCAGCGTTTTTGGGAGACGGATCCACGTGAAATCGACATTATCATAGGGAGCCACCGAATCGCCGCTTTCCTGCGTGACTGGGGGAAAAATATGCAATGGCCCTTCAGGATTGCGACTTGCTCCCAATACTACTGCGCACCCGAGGAGCTCTCTTCTCCCTCTCCGGGATATTCCGGTGCGCGCAGACCACGGCTCCTTGCGCTGGCTGGGAAGGTGGGGAGGCGCCTGCCGGAGAAGGGGTGGTTTCCCAGGCTGGAAAGGGAAGTGACGCCTAGCAAGGGTTCCCGGAAGCGCCTTGATCCTGTGTGCGAGACAGTGTTTTCACTTTTTTTGGATACCCAAGCGGAGAGGTTGCAGGAGAGCCTGAAAAGACAGGTAAAAGTCGGGGCTGCGACGCACGAGAGGTGGCCGCGAGGTCCCGGGACGGATCCGTGGGGAGGGGGTGGGATCGGGGCCGCCGGACACGCACACCCGCAAGTGCGTGGGTCTCCCCCGCGAGAAAGTGCCAACATCTGGCGAACAGAGAACCCCCCCCTTTTCACCCACCCCCGCACCCCGGGGGCTCGGCGCGGGCAGTCGATCTCAGCGGTTTGCTGCGCCATCGCTTGCAAGGTTTGCTCGGAGGCAACTTCCGCCGTGTCCAGAGGGGCTTTGTACTTAGGATCGCAGACTCGCTGAGAGGGGCGAGCGCCGAGGGTCCCTAATTATGGCACTTGCGTAGCAAGGATCTCGGGCGGGGGGCATAGGCGTAGCCGGGATTTATGTTAGGGGGCGGCAGGACACCCACCTGTCATCATCATCTGGCTCTGCCCAGCGGATTCGGAATGAAATGTCTCAACAACAACAGTTGTTTTGACTTACTTTCTTTTGACCCCAAGCGCTCAGAAAAATCTGTCCAAACCTTCCTACAATTTCTACTTTTTATTTACTAGATTTACCCCCCCCCCCAGCTCTCCCCAGGGGTGGGGGATGCCTCACTTCCAAGGAGGGTAATGGCATCTGGGGGAGAATAGGCTTTGCCTTTTCAGTTTGATCTGCAAGAGACCACCTGCCCCTGTTTGAGACCCCCCACCACCAGCAAGCACACTGAGGAAGTGAAAAGAAGAGACATCAATTTGTTGTTGTTGTCTAGTCGTGTCCGACTCATCGTGACCCCGTGGACCAGAGCATGCCAGGCACTCCTGTCTTCCACTGCCTCCCGCAGTTTGGTCAAACTCATGTTCGTAGCTTTGAGAACACTGCCCAACCATCTCGTCCTCTGTCGTCCCCTTCTCCTTGTGCTCTCCATCTTTTCCAACATCAGGGTCTTTTCCAGGGAGTCTTCTCTTCTCATGAGGTGGCCAAAGTATTGGAGCCTCAGCTTCAGGATCTGTCCTTCCAGTGAGCACTCAGGGCTGATTTCCTTATAAGTCCTCAAAGGCCCTGGAGAGAGACAGAGAGTTGCTGTGGGGAATGACAGAGCCTTTGAAAGCTATGCCCAGGGTTATAGGCAACTGGAACCTGCTCTGGTTTGTGGTGTTGGAACAAAATGCCATGCTGAGTAGCAGCTCAGTGGTGAAGAGGCTGAGCTATGAATCTGGGAGTTCCTGCTTTGAGTCTCGCCTCTGCCACACAGCCGCTTTACGCAAGCCCCCACCATCTGGAATACTGGGTGTGGGTTGGAAGGAATAAGTTGGGAACTGCAACACCATGTTGCAGTGTGAAGTGCAACTTCTGTCCAGGATGTCGGCTATCTTCCAGGATAATAAATTGAACGCACTCACCCCAACATTTGTCCCTTCAACACACCCCAGCCAGTCAGTATTTCACAGCCATTGAGCATGCACAGTCTTCGTTGGCCTGTTGTGATTTTTCCCCTTCTAAAGATGTTCCTGCACTTCTGCAAACCTTGGAATTCCCTTAAATTTACTCATACCTCCCTCTTCTGCCATTTCGACTCACCTCTGAACTCACAGGGGATGGCGATAGTATTGCTGAGTTTCCTTACAGCTGGGGTAGCCAACTTTGTGCCCTCCAGTTGGCGCACTCCGGCTCCCATCAGTCTCAGCCGGCGTGACCAATGGGCAGGGATGATGGGAGTTGTAGTTCAGAAACAGCTGGCATGTACCATATTTGCAACCCCTGCCTTGTGCGTATTTCTTGAGATTGTCGGGATCTCCATAGCTAGCTCAGAACTTTGTGTACGTCGTTTAACATAGCCCAGTTGGTAGAGCATGAGGCTCTCAATCCCAGGGTTGTGAGTTTGAGCCCCACATTGGGCAAAAAGATGGCTACATCGCAGCGAGTTGGACCAGATTACCTTTCCAACTCTACATTTCGGAAAATGTAAATGGCTAGTGTGTCAAACTGGAGGAGGAAGAGGGAATTTCCCTCTTTCATCCATCATGTGTAGAACGCATGGGAGCATGAGGGGGATATGTTGATACCTGTCTCCTCTTTCCCTTTCAGGTTGCATCCTGCCCCCAGGTCTGTTGTTTGGCTGACTGCCCCTCCTCCCCACTGCCGTGCTTCTGCCCCATAAGCCCTGCCATGTGGCTGTCAAATAGCTGAGTCTCTTCCCCACTGTGGGGAGAAAGGTGAGTTTTAAGGGCAAGTCTGTATTTTCTCATTGTACGTGGGGAAAAGTGGGTGGGAAATGTTTCAATGTGTGTGTGTGTCACAGAGATAACACACATGTGTGTGTATATATCAGTGAAAAGCTGTAAAAGATGTGAGTGAAACAGTAGGAGAGAGGAAACTTCATGGGCAGGGAAATATGGAACCAAAAGGCAGTCAGAGCAATCCTAACTATAGGAAGGTGGTGTATCTCAGGCCAGTGTAAGTTAACCTGTTCTGTTCAGGAACCTCTGGGGGGGAGGCTGCTGCCAGCTGAGCCAGCAGGCGAGTGTGGACTCAGGCGTTGAGGATTGGGTCCTTTTAGGTTGCATGGCCAAGTTGAACAGGCGTTAAGTCTCTCCTTGCATTGCCTCACCCCCACAACGCCCCTGGAACACCCCTTTTCAGGGACTCACAAAGTTGCAATGGAGTGAGGGACTTACAATTCAGCTGGACTCTGGCTGAGCTGGAAAAGCCCAAGGTTTTCCGAATCCAAACTCGTTTAATCTCAGCTAAGAAAAGAGGAGTGGAACGAAAGGATGGGCAAGTTGCATAGTTGTTGGGTACAGAGAGGTCAAAATGATCACCCCTCTTCCCTTATAAATAATATACCTTCTGACATTGTGCTGACCATTTTGGGGAGAAGGCTCCAGAAGTGTGTGAAGAAGACTCAGAGCCCCCTAAAAATCTTCTGGAGTAGAAAATAAGAGCGTAAGGAGAGCTTTGCCTCTGAGAAGCCCATGATTCAACCATCACAGCTCAGAGAAGTAAATTTGCTTGCCATGAATTTGTGCAAATCCGCTTTTAGAGCTGTCTAAACTAGTAGCCGTCTTTGCATCTTGACGCAGCAGCCTCCGTACCTTCATTTTAGGAGAAGTTGAATGCAGAAGTACCTTCTTTAATCCCTCTTGAATCGATGGTTTTTAAAGTACGTAGGGTGACCCAGAGTTTGAATTTATGGGTGATGGACATCAGCATGGCAGGAGATAGGACTGGCCCTACCATTGGGCAGAGAAATATGGCCTCAGGTGGCTTCTTTTGGATGTCATGTAAAGGTAGCAAATGTATTGTTGTGCTTTTTGCTCCCAGGCAGAAGCCCCTATGGGGTTTTCTGCCTCAGGTATCTAATAATTTGGCCAGCCTTGGGCTGCTGTGGCCTTTGACTCAGAGACGGAAGTTGGTTTAATTTCCTGTGCCGCTTCAGGCAGCAAAATGCCTTGGGCTGGCCCTCATAGGAGCTAGCAGGTGTAGGCCAGAAGAGGCCCTTCGTTCCCTCCTTGAACGTAGGAAGATAACGGGAAGCAGGTGCTGTATTTGGACGGCTCTTTTGCCACCCTTCAGAAATAAATGGCAGGAGGACCAAATTGCAGCACCCCCAAATTTCCCCCATCAAGTTAAATCACTTCCTCCCTGCCCCCGACCCTCCAAGATGCAACATGAGGAAATGCTGCTTTTCTCCCTTTTCCATGGAAATGGAGGAGAAATGAGGAAGCAGGCTGGTGGAAGCCTACATTGGCACTATCCGTTTTTAAAAGTGTCGTAGCACATTAAACAGCCTTGGGTTTCCCCACAAAGAACTCTGAGAACTGTGGTTTGCTAAGGGGAGTGAAAATGGTTAGGAGACCCCCTATTGCCCTCCCCTCCCGCAGATACAATTTCCATAATTCCCTATAAAGAGAGACTTGAGTATTAAACCACTCGAGAAATTTGAGCTCTGAGGAGGGGAATTGGGGGTTGCTCAAGAGTTACACCACCTTTGTGAAACTTGCTGGTTAACTCTTGCTAAAGAGAGGTGCAGAAGGTCCCTGGTTCAGGAGGACTGGGGATCTCCCCTACTTGAAAGCCCAGAGAGTTGCTGTCGGTCAGAGCAGAATACACTGAGGTAGATGGACCTGTGGTTTAACTTGGTATATAGCCGTTTCTTAAATTGGCTGAACTGTCTCTGTTTGTCTGCCTGATTCCAGGACTGGCTATGCAATGCTGCTGTGGCTGACACCCTGAGATGGCCAAAACGGGCACCAATGAACTTCAGTTACCACTGGGTAAGCCACCTACTGAAACCTACTTACCACTTGCCTACCCCTCCCCACCGCCAGACAGCCCACTACTCCTGAACGGACAACAGCTTTTTAAAGAAAACAATATAACTCTTTGGTTTTTCTTCACTTCCTTGCCTCATTCTCCATTGCTATTCTTTCTCCCCCCCCCCAAAAAAAAAACACCCCCCACACACAGAAGATGGGGAGCCCGCTTCTCAGGTCAAAGACGAGTGGTCAAAGGAAAAGCCAGAGTCTCAGAGCACTGTGAAAATCGAGGTGGTTTGCACAGACGATGGAGAGAGCTCTACGCACAGTGCGGGTGAGTTTGAGAAGAATGTAGACGGCTTTGTATTTCTTTAACTGAATTTTTTTGGCTGTTGATTCCTGTATTGCATTGCAGGGGGTTGGACAAGATGTTCCTAGTGGTCCCTTCCAACTACAGTGGTACCTCAGGTTACAGATGCTTCAGGTTACAGACGCTTCAGGTTACAGACTCTGCTAACCCAGAAATAGTACCTCGGGTTAAGAACTTTGCTTCAGGATGAGAACAGAAATCGTGCGGCTGCAGCGTGGTGGCAGCTTGAGGCCCCATTAGCTAAAGTGGTACCTCAGGTTAAGAACAGTTTCAGGTTAAGAACGGACCTCCAGAACAAATTAAGTTCTTAACCCAAGGTACTACTGTATATATTTCTATGATTCTGTGGCCCTGCTGTTCCTTAAGGCCTTTACAAATGTGAGTTTAAAAATCGCTCAGTGGCAGCAAATAATAATGCCAGCGGCTTTTTACTTCAGCCTCCGGTTCTGAAGTTGGCTTGTTGGAACCAAACATAGCAATAATAATGATAAATAATAATAATAATTTTATTATTTATACCCCACCCATCCTCATGATAAAAACATGATAAAATATCATGATAAAATATCAAACATTGAAAGACTTCCCTAAACAGGACTGCCTTCAGATGTTTCCTAAAAGTCAGATAGTTGTTTATTTCCTTGACATCTGAAGAGAGGTTGTTCCACAGGGGAGGGCATCACTAACGAGAAGGCCCTCTGCCTGGTTAATGTTAACCACGGTTTCCTGGGTCAGACAACACAACAAAACTGTGGTTAGCCAAACACAGGAGTGAAAGACCCCAAACTCCACCCTCCATCCAAGTGGGAGAAGGAAGACAACAGGTTAGCCTGTGAGGAGGTGAGGCTGGCTCAAAACTCCATAAATAAACCAAGAATGGGGAGCCTGCAGCCCTCCAGTTGGTTCCAGGCTACAGCTCGCGTCATCATCCCTGGCCATGCCGGCAGGGACTTATGGGAAGTTTGGCAACATCTGCAAGGCCACAGGTTCCCTGCTCCTGTGCCAGATCATAGTTTAGCATGGTGCCCAATGCGGAAATCGTAACCAAGAAGCCAGGGGGGGCGGGTCGCAGGCTTCCATTAAGCCACTTTCCTTCCCTCTGCAGCTGAGGAGCCGACCCGCAAACGGAAGAAGGGCCCTGCCCCCAAGATGCTGGGTGATGAAGTGTGCAGCGTGTGCGGGGACAAAGCCTCGGGATTCCACTACAACGTCCTCAGCTGCGAGGGTTGCAAGGGCTTCTTCCGGCGCAGCGTCATCAAGGGGGCGCAGTATACCTGCAAGGGCAGTGGGCAGTGCCACATGGACATGTACATGCGCCGGAAGTGCCAGGAGTGCCGTTTGAAGAAGTGCCGGCAGGCGGGCATGCGAGAGGAATGTGAGTAGTTGGCGAGAAGAGACACAGCTGAGATCTGGGATGACAAAAGCTTGGGGGAAAGAGGCAAAAATGGAAATTGTTTGCCTGCTTTGTTTTCTTTTTTAAGCAGGCCCAGGGAGGAAGCCTACCGGACTCCAACTCCCATCAGCCCCAGCCAGCATGGATAATGGTGATGGATGATGGGAGTTGGAGTCCGGCAAAAGTCTGGAGGGCCAGAGGTTCCCCAGCCCTGTTTTAAATATTTTATATCCCACCTTTCCACTACTGTAGACTTCAGCGTAGTTTACAACTTCCAGGTTATTATTATTATTATTACAATTTATATACTGCGCTTCTGGGACGCGGGTGGCACTGTGGGTTAAACCACAGAGCTTAGGACTTGCCGATCAGAAGGTCGGTGGTTCGAATCCCTGCGACGGGATGAGCTCCCGTTGCTTGGTCCCTGCTCCTGCCAACCTAGCAGTTCGAAAGCATGTCAAAGTGCAAGTAGATAAATAGGTACCACTCCGGCGGGAAGGTAAACGGCGTTTCCGTGCGCTGCTCTGGTTTGCCAGAAGTGGCTTAGTCATGCTGGCCACATGACCCCGAAGCTGTATGCCGGCTCTTTCGGCCAATAAAGCGAGATGAGCGCCGCAACCCCAGAGTTGGCCACGACTGGACCTAATGGTCAGGGGTCCCTTTACCTTTACCTATACCGCCCTTCATCAAAAGATCTCAGGGTGATGTACAACATTAAAAACGCATTACAGAACATCAGTAATAAAAACATTAAAAAAAACATTATGGCAGACAGACAAATAATAAAATAGTTAATAACGGTCGTCTTCCCCCACACTTTCACAGGCCATCAGATTATTTAATAGCCATAGGCCTGGGCAAAGAGGAATGTTTTTGTCTGGCCCCTAAAGACATGTAATTCTGGAGCCAGACAAGCTTCTCTGTGGAGAGCATTCCACAGTCGGGGAGCCACCACAGAAAAGGCCTGTTCTCTTGTTGCCACCCTCCAAACCTCTCTACAATGGGGGACATAGAGAAGGGCCTCAGATGACAGGCACATGGTCCGGTTCAGTTTGTATGGGAAGAGGTGACACTTAAGGTATCCTTAAGGTTAAGGGCTGTATCCAAGCTTAGCCATTATCAGAGCCATTCAAGTAAATCAGCATTATTATTAGGTTTGTATCCCACCTTTCCTCCCCAAGGAGCCCAGGGCGGCAAACAGATGCACGATTGTAAAACAATTAAAACATTCTAAAAACAATCACAATTAGAAAACATCCAAAAGCAGTTAATGGTTAAAAATGTGCTTCCGTCCAACAATCTTGGGGTTGCTAGGAACAGTATTCCTCAGCCACCAAACGCCTAGGTAAACAGGAATGTTTTCAGATTCCTCCCGAAAGTGAATAATGATGGAGTCAAGCGCAACTCACCAGAGAGGGTATTCGACAAGCAGGGGGCCACCGTTGAAAGGCCCTGTTGTGCATCACCAATTGGGTGGCCCAGTGGCAGCACAGCCAACAAGGCCCACGTGACAAACTTAGGTCCATTAACTTCAGTAGTTTCTGCTCTGAGTAGAACTTGATTCGATACAGCGCTAAGATTTCAAGCACTGGTTGTCAATAACCCTTGGCAACTCTTGTTCTTGTCCTGACCCTCCCCTGCTTGTGTTCCCTCCAGAGAGAGGGAGACAGGGGTTTATGGCATTATGCAATGCTGTCACCCAACATAACTGGGGGGTGGGATGGGGTTCGGTGAGCCGTTGACCTCCTCCGCGGTTGAGGAAAGAGATGGGAGCTCATCTTCCTTGTGCTACATCTCAAAAGCAGAAAGAAGTCCCACAGCTCTCCGAAGATCAGTGCAACACGAGGGAGAACTGCTGCCATTCATCTGTGGTTCTGAAACCAGCCCGTCCTCACAGACTCTGCCTTTTCTAAGCCCAGGGGAAGGGGAAGGGGGGCTGCGCTCTTGCCGGAGCGAAAGTGCATCTGTAGATCCTTGATCCCAGCAATACATTATACAGTGGAACCTCAGGTTACAGACGCTTCAGTTTACAGACTCTGCTAACCCAGAAATAGTACCTCGGGTTAAGAACTTTACCTCAGGATAAGAACAGAAATCATGCAGTGGCGGCACAGCAGCAGCAGGAGGCCCCATTAGCTAAAGTGGTACCTCAGGTTAAGAACAGTTTCAGGTTAAGAATGGGCCTCCAGAACAAATTAAGTTCTTAACCCGAGGTACCACTGTAAATTGCTGGCGACAAACAACTTGTGAAAAAAAAAGAAGATTTAAAACAGGCTTCCTCATATTCGGCCCTCCAGATGTTTTGAGACTATTATTCCCATCATCCCTGACCACTAGTCCTGCTAGCTAGGGATCATGGGAGTTGTAGGCCAAAAACATCTGGAGGGCCGAGTTTGAGGAAGCCTGATTTAAAATAATACAGAGCAGGGAGGGGGGAATCTGTAACCTTCAAGATATGTTGCTAAACTACAACTCCCATCAGGTTCGCCAGCTTGCCCCCGCAGATGCCCAGGGCTGCGCGACGTGCTACGTGGAACTTTGTGGGTGCCCGGCCCCTTCTTTGAAAATTTGTGAGTGACCGGGCACCCATGGCCCCCCACATAGATGGCGCCTGTGGCTCCCATCATCCATGATCATTGGCCATGCTGGCTGGGGCACATGGGATCTGGAGTCTGAGCCACACAGAAACCAGCAATGTGGTTACCCAAAAACGCACTTCTAAAAGCAGTTCATGTTAATTAGAGAGTTGGACAAATAGGGAAGATGTGTCATCGTGTCTAAACGTTAGTAATGGTTGCAGGAGGCAGAGTTCAGGGAGACATTTCACAGCCAGGGACTTCAGGGGATGAGTCAGAGGATGAGTCAGAGGATTGGGGATGCTGATAATAATAATAAATTTTAATAATAATAATAAATTTTATTTATACCCCGCCCTCCCCAGCCAAGACCGGGCTCAGGGTAGCTAACAACCAATAATAAAAACAAGTTGATTAAAATACAACTTAAAAAACAAGATTAAAATACAACATTAAAATGCAGCCTCTTCACAGGAGGAGAAAGGAAAAAAGAAAGAGGGGGAGGGAATCAAATTGATTCTAAGCCAAAGGCCAGGTGGAACAACTCTGTCTTACAGCCCATGCGGAAAGAAATTAGATCCCGCAGGGCCCTGGTCTCATGAGACAGAGCATTCCACCAGGCCGGAGCCAGTGTTGAAAAGGCCCTGGCTGTGGTTGAGGCTAATCTAACTTCCTTAGGGCCTGGGACCTCTAGGGTGTTGCTATTTATGGACCTTAAGGTCCTCCATGGGGCATACCGGTATATAGCAGGAACAACTGAGATGTCTCTTTGTGATCCCACCCGTTCTCAATAACTCCTCCCCTCTCCTTCTCTCTAGGTGTTTTGTCGGAAGAGCAGATCCGTAAGAAGAAGATCCGTAAACAGCAGGAGGGAGAAGGGGCGTCGGGAGGTGAGGGGGGCGGTGGCGAGGTTCTACGAGTCCCGCCTCTGCCCTGCGACCCCTCTTTGCCCCAGCCTGAACCAGCTCCCCTCACGCCCCAGCAGGAAGGCATGATCCGGCAGCTGGTAGCAGCACAACAGCAGTGCAACAAGAGGAGCTTCAGTGACCAGCCCAAAGTCACGGTAATCGAAGACGATATTAGCAATGGAAGTATGGGTGTGCAAGTTATGTGAAGTTCAGCTCTCGTTCGTATCGCGTCCCAGCTCTGATGCTCCAGAAATGCCTGACTTTATTAGATAGATAGATAATTTATTACGGTCGGAGACTAGCTTATAAAACACACTTGGGGGTACAATCCCAAAAGGAAAACAAACATTTAAAACAATGTGCAACAATAAATTTAAAATTTATAAGCGTATAGACACTTTAAGATAAGCTACCGCAGAGAGATGACTCAGAGTCACCCATGGAACCGAGTTTGGGGATTTTCTTAACGAACTAGTTTGAGTCGGGGGATGGTCTGTGCCTACAGATCTGTACACAGAATCTGGCGACCATCCGGGTCGTCTTATTATCTTTGCCTAACAGGTAAAGGTCGAATTTTTGCCTTTCCGGGAGGTCAGCAAGCCTCACCAGCAGGGGATCAATGGTCTCACTACGTGCCTCTTCATAAAAGGGACATCTAAAGAACAAGTGCTCTGGGCTTCCTATATCCCCCAATAAACAGGTGCAAAGTCACTGAGCATATGGGACTTTTTTAAAGGATCCTTCCAGGACCAGTGAGGGCAGAGCTGAGCTTCTGGCGAGTGTAAAAGCCCTTCTTGCATTTTTGGATATGAGAAAGAAGAGATATGCTGCCGGTTCGGCTATATCTCTCTCAGTTTCTCCAGTTTTATAGTCGAGGTACCTTGAGCAGTCTCCCACCAGCTCATTGTTTCTGTGCTTTCTGCAGCACAAGGCAAGTCTCTTCCTCCTCAGCCAGCCCAGATATTTAGCAGGCTGGTCCCAGCAAAGGAAAAATGGATACAAAAACTTATGGAATGTGCAGAAATGGCAACTCTTACCAGAAGAATAAGAAATCAAGATAACAAACTTTTTATAAAAAGAATGGAAATGGTTTATTGAATATTTGCAGATAAATTGTAAACAGATAAGAACACTGGCAGGATTACAGTATTGTTATAACCTGCAGTTTTATAGGGGTATACAGTGGTACCTCTGGTTGCAAACAGGATCCGTTCCAGACATGAGCATCCGTTCTGCTCAAAATGAGCCGACGCAACCCGCATCTGTGCGTGCCGCGATTCGCCGCTTCTGCGCATGCACGTGACGTCATTTTGAGCGTCTGCACATGCGCAAGCGGTGAAACCCAGAAATAACCCTTTCCGGTACTTCTGGGTCGCTGCAGGACGCAACCTGAAGAGATTTAACCTGAAGCAAACGTAACAAGAGGTATGACTGTATCTTTAAAGAAGATGAAGAAATGAGCAAATGAAGTTAATTTGGATATGCAGAAGATATTAAAAATAAATTTAAGGAAACACAGAAAGAGGGGGAAGGAAGTCAAGTTTTGAAATGTCAAAATGATTGTAAAATCAGTGAAGTGTATAAACCTGAAAAGTATAAAAAAGAAATTCAACAGGCTGAAGGAAAGGAGATGAATCACTCTATTCCTCCCTGCTCCATTAGTCAGCTTGGAGGAAGGCCAATTGTTTTATTTTATTTTTAACGAGCCTGCTAAGAGACTAGTAGTCTGCATTTCCATGCCGGTTGCTGAGCTGGCAGTTTCTTCTTCTCCACAGTCAGCATGGAAGTACAGCAACAAACATCTATACATTGCTGGCTTGTAACTTCCGTGGTTTTATTTCTAAGGCTGCTGCCCATCTCCCAGACGCTTCCGTACACCCTGTCTGTGGAATGTCCCCCTTTCCCCAATCTTTTCCGCTTTTCCAGCTCCAGCTACAATGCATTCTTCCCTGCAAATCCCGTCGCCTGTCCCAGGGCAGACTCCCGCCCCCTCATTGCTCACCGACACATGATGACTGGTGCTTTTCAATTGCCTGCACCAAAGCAAGGTTATAAAAGAGATTGGGTGGGGAGGAGGAAAATGAGAAGCAGACACTTCTCTGTTTCCCAGCAGCCCTTTCTGCCCCATACTTTTGCAAAGAAAGTGGAGAGGGCTGTCAGGGTGGGGAAGCCTTCTGGCAATGGGAGCAGGGCTGTGAGTTTCAAGGGGGGCGGATCTGGGCTCAGGAAGACGTCATCCTTCGTTAAAGGATGGATGCAGGGGCATGTGGCAAACATGTCAACTTCCGCACCCATTTTCGCTGGTTCTAGAGACATCAGAATGGGCTCTGTAACTGGTCTTCCTTACCCCAACGCAACACAAATAAATGTGTTCAAATGGGAATACAGTGGTACCTCGGGTTAAGCACTTAATTCGTTCCGAGGTCTGTTCTTAACCTGAAACCGTTCTTAACCTGAAGCACCACTTTAGTTAATGGGGCCTCCCGCTGCCACCACACAATTTCTGTTCTCATCCTGAAGCAAAGTTCTTAACCCGAGGTACTATTTCTGGGTTAGCAGAGTCTGTAACCTGAAATGTATGTAACCTGAAGCATATGTAACCCGAGGTACCACTGTAAAAGGCATGTCTTTCAGAGACGGGCCCGACTTCTGAACCAGACCAGTATCCCCATTTCCTATCTTGAACCAAGATGCTTATTTATCCTGATAAAAAGAAACAAAAACAAACCTTGAATTGGCCTGCCTTGCTCAATCTGCCTTGATAGGTTAGTTAAACAAGTTATGTACACAGCAAGTGCCGTGTTTAACATTGACTCGCACCTGAGCTTACTAGATGTATAGAACACCTCGCATAATTTTGGGGGTCCTTGGAGCCAGGATGTTTAAGTTTGTTTAATCTGTTTTTACCCCTGATTTCCCTCCCATTTCAATCCTCTTCCTCTGTCGCCACCCCCCCATCACAAAATATGTTTTCTTGACTCAAGAATCATAAAATCATAGAACTCTAGATCATCTCGTCCAACCCTCTGCAATGCAGGACTATGCCGCTGTTCCTTATGGGGATCGAACCAGCAACCTTGACATTATCAGCACCACGCTCTAACCAGCTAAGCTATCCAGGCCCTGTTCAATGTACTCAGAATGGGTACATTTTGCTGGATGTGTGGGGAGAGTCATGGTAATCCTGGTGGTTAAGAAGAATAACCAGGGGAGAGTTGGAGAGCATGGGTTTCTGGATCTTGTTTGGAAGGGATCCCTGGCTCTTGTCTTCTTGATTCCCACCGCCTTGTCGATCATACAGGGTGGGTGAGAGATTTGGAGAGCAGTTTGGGGGTAAGGCTTAGGATTGCATCGGTGAAACCTGTGCATTGTTAAGGGTCTCCTGCCCTAGACTGACCTCATTTCTCTCTTTCTCTCTCCTTCCATGTTTCTCCTCCTGCCCCTGCCTGCCTGCCTGCTACCAGCCCTGGCCTATGGGCAGCGATCCCAACAGCCGAGAAGCACGGCAGCAGCGCTTCGCCCATTTCACAGAGCTGGCCATCATCTCGGTGCAGGAGATTGTGGACTTTGCCAAGCAGGTTCCTGGCTTCCTACAGCTGTCGCGGGAGGACCAGATCGCGCTGCTCAAAGCCTCCACCATCGAGGTGAGCAAGAGCGGGGGTAGAGCGTCTCCTGCTTCTCCCGACTCGTCGCTTACAAATTATATGGCTGCAATCCTAACCGTATCTGCTCAGAAGTAAGTCCTGCTGAATTCACTGGGGTCTGCTCCCAGGTAAGTGGAGTCAGGACTGCAGCATTAGCATCTTAAGCCAGCTAGAAACATTGCTTCCGGTCCCGGAAGTTGTGGTTCTCTTTACCTAGCTGAAGAGGCTTGGAAGAACCGGCAGATCCCACAGCAGTGAAGAACCAGGAAGTAGAATCTTGGTAGGGGAGCCAGCGATTTTAATGCTAAAGTCTGCAGCTTCAGTTCCTGGCATTTGCCGGTAAAAAGGGCGGCTTAATCGATTGTGTGAATGAGTTTCCTGACTTAAACCCTGGAGAGTCACTGCAATCCAACAAGATGCTATGGGGACAAATCTTCTGCTTTCAATATATAATAATAATAGTAGTAGTAATAATAATAATAATAATTTAATATTTATACCCCGCTCATCTGGCTGGGCTTCCCCAGCCACTCTGGGCGGCTTCCAACCAAATATTAAAATACAGTAATACATCAGACATGAAAAGCTTCCCTAAACAGGGCTGCCTTCAGATGTCTTCTAAAAGTTTGGTAGTTGTTGATCTCTTTGACATGTGGTTGGAGGCGTTCCACAGGGCGGGCGCCACTACCGAGAAGGCCCTCTGCCTGGTTCCCTGTAACTTGGCTTCTTGCAGCGAGGGAACCGCCAGAAGGCCCTCGGCACTGGACCTCAGTGTCCAGGTAGAACGATGCGGGTGGAGACGCTCCTTCAGATATATGCAGCAGTCTCCTTTATTCCTAATCCAGTGGCAGCAGGCCTGCTGATTCCAGAGACAAACAAGGCCTGAAATTCTACTGTGAAAGCAACTTGAGGGTAATTGCAGTGTGTGGGAGAAAAATGAGCGCAAGACAAGAGGCTGGATTTCCCACTGCTGATGGTTTTAGATTTAGCATAATGTAGGTTGGTATGCTCACGTGACCGAATCCGGGGGTGGAGGTGGGCGTCAAAAGCCAGCATTTCAGGGAGAATGGTTCTGTCTTAGCGCTAAAATGTTAGCTTTCCAAATGCACTGATTTTTTTTTAAAAAATATTTTGGTGGAGCACAATTCAGTCCAATGAATCTGAAGTGGTACAGTCCCCACATGTGTTTACCGGCTCAGTGAATGTCTTAAAGTTATTGTGGGAACAGAATTCCTGGATCTAGATTTGCACTAAACCATAGTTTAGCATGACAGGGATAAACTTCACTGGATCTGGAATCTATGAGGTCCCCCTTCACCCCTCCTGCTCCGGAACAGCCACAAAGAGGAGTTTAGAAGCCATTGCTTCTGCTTTTGCTAAACCACAGTGTCATGCTGGCCCAAACAGTACAGTAGTACCTCAGGTTAAGTACTTAATTCATTCCGGAGGTCCGTACTTAACCTGAAACTGTTCTTAACCTGAAGCACCACTTTAGCTAATGGGGCCTCCCGCTACCACCATGCCACCGGAGCACAATTTCTGTTCTCATCCTGAAGCAAAGTTCTTAACCTGAGGTACTATTTCTGGGTTAACAGAGTCTGTAACCTGAAGCGTATGTAACCTGAAGCGTATGTAACCTGAAGCGTATGTAACCCAAGGTACCACTGTAATGAATAATAATTTCGATTTGTTTGAAAGAAGCCAGATTCAAACTGTAGTTAACATTAACCACAATATAGGGTTAGGATGGCACAATAAACTGTAGCTGTGAAAAACAGGAGCTTCCCAACTCCTTGCATCTGCACTAGAGGATTGCCATGCTAAACAGTGGTCTAACGCCGCCAGTGTGAATCATTGTTTGTGTTTGATATATATTTCCACTGTTCTTATTGTGTTGATTTCAGACACAGGTCCCATTGAATCAATTAAAATCAAGTCATTACTAACGTAGTTCCCACTGAAATAAATGGGACCGAAGTTTCACTAACTCAAGCCAGCTTCACACCTTACCTTGAAGGGTCTATGATACCACTTGCAACAGTCATGGCTTCCTGCATAGGATTCTGGGAGCTGTAGTTTGTAAAGGGTGCTGAGGGTTGTTAGGAGACCTCCATTCCCCTCACAGAGCTACAGTTCTCAAGAGCAGTTTAACAATCAATCCCACTTACCAGGGAACTGACTCTACCTTGGGATCCCAGGTGGTTGTTGGACTACAACTCCCATCATCCTTAGGTGGAAAGACCAGCGGTCATGGATGATGGGTGTTGTAGTTCAAGAACATCTGAGGACCCAAGGTTGAGAAAGGCTGCTCTCGCCACTTCATCACACTGGCTTTCTGTCAGAAATGTGGGAAACGATGAAGGAAGGAAGAGAATGGGTTTAACCTAGGGCAGGAAAGGGGGGGAAAGGTGCCTGGAACTTATGTGGCCTAGTCAGTTAGTCCATATATGTCTGTGCCATGTATGCTGGACAGTTTTTTTCCAAGAGAGGGGTACAACTTCACCCCCTGCCCTGCCTCCACAGATCATGCTTTTGGAGACGGCAAGACGCTACAACCACGAGACCCAGTGTATCACGTTTCTTAAGGATTTCACCTACAGCAAGGACGACTTTCACCGTGCAGGTGAGGTGGGAAAGGAGAGAAGGTATGTGTGGGCTGTGAGGGGCTCCTTCCAGAAAATTCTTCCCCTTGGAGTGGCAGGCCAGAAGAATACCAAGAACCAGGAAGGAAGATCAATACCTTTTGAGGGTGTATGTGAGCGTTTCTGTCCTACTTCACAGAGAAAGGACACACCCAGACCTCAGGTCAGATTAAGCGCACACCGACAAATTCTGTTTTTGTGTGTTGTTGTGTCAAGCTCTCTCCAGAACAGCTGCCTCTGCTCAAGAAAGAGCTTCTTTCTAAAGGAAAGTATGTTACACCTTTTGCTTTTTTGCCCTTGTTTTTACCTTGCCAGGGGGTCATAAATAAGCACAGCGAGGGGCTGGGGAGCCCCAGCAGTTGCCTCATCCGGGCTCTTGCCACACACAAGGCTCATTCCTCTCGCTAGATGTGGAAATGACAGGGCATCGCAGCACCCGGCATGTCTGAACAGAGTTGCAACTCCCCTCCCAAAAGAATCTCCTTGCTAGCACTGATTTTGCAGTGAGATTAGCAAAGCTTTGGCAGACTCTGGGCAAGTACAGAAGTCGTATCTTGAATGGAAAGGTAGCAGGTGCATTTTTTTCCTTCTTCCAATTTTTTGGGGTAGATTTGAAAGTTGAAGGTTTTTTTGTGGGGGGGGGCAGTGGGACTTCTTTTGTTTTTTTAAGAAGGCAGTTCGAGGATTTTCATATGCATTCAAGGTTACACATTTGTCTGGCCTGGAGCATCAAGAGTTGGTCTGCTTTTCAGGTGATTCACACCATTAATTCCTTTGTGTATCAACAATTATCTACTTACAAGTCAGGTGAAAGGACAGCCTAAGGATGGCTGTGTTGCCATGGCATGTTTGACAAGAGTTTACATTCCTTTTTAGCCTTCTTTCTTTCTGCAGCAGTGGGCCTGACAAGGGGGCAGTACCACTAAGAGATCTGGAATCCAGTCGGTTTCCTTACTAGGGTTGATTTGAGTTCATCTCGTATTTTGTATTTTTTTTAAAGCAAATAAAGGGTGTGTCTATCTCAGACCCTCTGGTTTGGCTTCTCTCTGTTCTGCCTGTTCAATGTGCAGTTTGTTATGCATCACACTCTGGGGAGGTCCTTTTCTGCCAGAGGGAAACAAATATGTAAATATGGCTTCACAATCTCCATGTTTCCTGTCTCTGCTTGTAGTTTGTTTCTGGCGAGGATTTGCTTGCACTGCTTTCCCAGATGTTTCCCAGGCACAAGTCTGGCTTCATCTGCACTATACATTTAAAGCAGTATCATACCACTTTAAACAGTCTCTCCCCAAGGAATCCTGGGAAGTCTAGTCCTGAGAGTTGTTAGGAGACCCTCTACTCCCCTCACAGAGCTACAATTCCTAGAGTGGTTTAACCACCAATCCCAGGGAACTTTAGGAATTGTAGCTCTGTGAGGGGCTTCCCTTACTATTGCTTTTCTTTATCCCAGAGCCAGCAAAGTGCCATGCTTAGGACTTTGTGCAGGGCTTTTTGGGTGCTGCTGATCAGCAGTGCCTTTTCTGCAGCGGCTCCCATTTGTGGAATGCTCTCCCCAGGGAGGTTCAGCTGGCACCTTCATTATGCAGTCGTACCTTGGATCCCAAACGCCTTGCAAGTCGAATGTTTTGGCTCCTGAATGCTGCAAACCTGGAAGTGACTGTTCTGGTTTGCAAACTATTTTTGGAAGCTGAACGTCCGACGGGGCTTCCACAGCTTCCAATTGGCTGCAGGAGCTTCCTGCAGCCAATCAGAAGCCGTGCTTTGGTTTCCGAAGCATTCCTCTTCAGCCACTCCTTCTCCTTCTCCTCCTCCTCCTCCTCCTCCTCCTCCTCCTTCCTACCCCGTCCATCTGGCTGGGTTCCCTGTAGCTTCACTTCTTGCTGTGAGGGAACCAGGCAGAAGGCCCTCAGAGCTAGATCTCCGTGTCTGGGCTGAACGATGGGGGTAGAGATGCTCCTTCAGGTATACAGGCCCTGATTGACAACCGATGCTCTTTTAAATGTGTTGTGGGAGAGGGGGTTACAGTCAAAACTCAGTTTTTGAACATCTTGACTGCCGAACGTTTCACAAGCCAAACGCCAAAAACCTGGAAGTGAATGCTTCCATTTTTGAACAGCTTCCAAAGCACGTTTCTCAATTTCCCCCATTGAACTTGCTGACAGCCTTTGATCCTTGGTTTTCTAATGTTTCGGAAGTTGAACGGATTTCCGGAACGGGTTGCGTTCGAAAACCGAGGTTACACTGTATTGTATTGGTTTGTTTTTGTTATTCTTGTATATATTTTGTGTTTTTTATATTGTAATGTTATGTGGTGAACTGCCCTGAGATCTATGGATGAAGGGCAGTGTACAAATTTAATCAACAACAACAACAGCGCCTTTAGTCCCGGCCATGTCTTTACCTGCCTCACACCTGACGGTGACATCAGCTATAGACCAGGGGGCTGTGGCCCAGTCAGAATGGCTTTGCAGGTGAATTGGGAACAAATGGTGGGCCTAATTTGGCTTGGTGAAACCAAAGGACAATATACGTCTCTGTGTGGCCATGAGCAAGGTGTGTTCTCTTTCCCTGACGCTCCGGCTTTCGTTTCCTTCCTCCTCGTTTTACCATCAGGTCTGCAGGTAGAGTTCATCAACCCCATCTTCGAGTTCTCTCGGGCCATGCGGCAGCTGCAGCTGGACGATGCGGAATACGCCCTCCTCATCGCTATCAACATCTTCTCAGCCGACCGGCCCAACGTGCAGGACCACGGCCTGGTGGAAGCTCTGCAACAGCCCTACATCGAGGCCCTCAGCTCTTATATCCGCCTCCACCGCCCACAGGTGTCCGGGGGGCGTGTGGGCATGCGTGGGGGAGTGGGGCAATGAATGCGCAGGGCGGGTGGTGAAGTCAATGTGATGGGAAATCGTTTGAGCAGGCGAAGAGGCAAAAAATATTTGGACGCCTCACAGAATTTGCTCTTGGGCTGCGGCCAAGCGCCGCTGAGACACCCGCTAGTTCCCCTGCTGGGTTCAAGAGAGACTCCTCAGCCTGAAACCTTTACGTCTCCTGGTGGGAAGAAAAAACCCTAATTCAAGTCACCTCCTCCCCTTTGGCTGCAGAGAAGGGAAGAGCAAGGAATGGAAAATGGCAGTGGGCCCTAAATCGAGGTTACAGACGAATAGGAGGCGCTGCCTTGATGCACTGGTCCATTTAGCTGAATATTGTCTACTCTGACTGGCATCAGCTCTCCAGGGTTTCAGAAGGGAGCTTTTCTCAGCCCTACCTGAGGAGGAATGAACCTGAAATAATAATAATAATAATAATAATAATAATAATAATAATAATATATTTATACCCCGCCCATCTGGCTGGGTTTCCCCAGACACTCTGGGCAGCTTCCAACAGAATATCAAAAACACAATAAAACACCAAACATTAAAAACTTCCCTAAACAGGGCTGCCTTAAGATGTCTTCTAAAAGTCAGGTAGTAGTTTATTTCTTTGACATCTGATGGGAGGGCGCCACCACCGAGAAGGCCCTCTGCCTGGTTTCCTGTAACCTCACTTCTCGCGGTGAGGGAACCGCCAGAAGGCCCTCGGAGCTGGACCTCGGTGTCCCTATTACATCTCCAGCTGCTAGGTGTCTTAGATAGCCCTTCCAATAGCAAACGTGAGTGACGGGGTACCTGACCAACCCTCGTGTTTCCCCCTCCTCTGGCTTTTTCAGGACCACCTGATGTTTCCGCGCATGTTGATGAAACTGGTCAGCCTACGGACCTTGAGCAGCGTGCACTCTGAGCAGGTCTTCGCTTTGCGTCTTCAAGACAAGAAACTTCCGCCGCTTCTCTCTGAGATCTGGGATGTACACGAGTAGACATTTTTTTTTTGGTGGGAGGGGACAGATGGGGGAGCGTACAGACGTCTCTCCTCCTCTCTCTCTCTCTCTGTTTCTCTTTGTCTCTCTTAACGCACGTACTCCTTTTCTTGGAATCCTTCTACAGACTCTTTTGAACCTCAGCATTAGGACTTGTAACTGATGGACTCATCCCACCAGAGGAACTGCATCAAGGGGGTTACTAAGCACTTTTTCCCCGTCTCGCCCCCTCCCCAACCCCCATCTACTTGTACTTCCTACAGAGCTTGCCTCCCCCGCTTCTGGTTTTGGGGAGGTGTAGGTCACATTTGTGCTTCTGGGGTGCGTAGGGGAAAGATGCAAGGGGGCTGCCCCCTCCCCACAAAGACTCATTTCTCCTGCTCTTGAAGAATGAACACACACACACACCCCGCCCTACGTGACATTCTAGGTGTGCCCCACTGGGGAGGGAGTGGCCTGGTATGGGGGGCTATGCCCAGAAAAATAAAAAATAAATCCGATCATGACAAACCAAGCATCTGGCCTGGTGTTGACGGTGTGAATGGAAAGAGATTAATAATAATAATAATAATAATAATATTTTTACTGTTTGCACGCTGCTCACCTGACTGTGCTGCCCCAGCCACTCTAGGCAGCTTCTAACACATATAAAAACGTAACATCAAACATTAAAAACTTCCCGATACAGGGCTGCCTTCAGGTGTCTTCTAAAGCTTGTGTTCTTTATCTCCTTGACATCTGATGGAAGGGTGTTTCAACAGGGAGGGTGCCACTACCAAGAAGGCCCTCTGCCTGGTTCCCCGTAACCTCACTTCTCGCAGTGAGGGAACTGCCAGAAGGCCCTCAGAGCTGGACCTCAGTGTCTGGGCTGAACAGCTGGAGTGGAGGCGCTCCTTCAGGTATACTGGGCCGAGACCATTTAGGGCTTTAAAGGTTTGGCCTACAGCTTTGAGGGATGGGTTGAGAGCAGAAGCCCAGACCAATTCAGAGGGTAGGGATGGGAGACATTACTAATGGCTTTAAGAGAAAATTAGATCAGTTTGTGGAGGAGAAAGCTTAAGTTCTACCTCCACTGTTGGAGACAGTATGCCTCTGAATACCAGTATCTGGGAACCACAAGCCTAGAGAGAGCATTGTTGAACTTGGGTCTTCTTTGCAGACTTTGGTTTTTTTTTTTTTAATGATATTTATTAAAGTTTCAAAAAATACAAAAAATACAGAATACAGAAAAAAGAGTAAAGTTTTTAAAATATAACAAAAAAGTAAAGAATAAAAAAGAAACATACAAAATAAAACAGTTAAAAAGACATTGATTTTCCAAACCTACTGGAAAATCAATGTCTTTTTCTACTTTCTTTATCTTTGGTGCCATTCCTCTAGTTATCCATATTTGGTCAATTCTAGTCCATGTCATCTTGGCTTCAGAAAAGAAGGTTCCCTCGCTTCCCAGGAGAGAGAGAAGAGAAGACAGACTTTGAATCTGGTTGGTCAGTGTGAGAATAGGATGCTGGGATAGATGGACCTTTGCTCTGATCCAACAGGGCTCTCCCTGTGTTGTTATTAAGAAATATTTGAGGCCTGTAGGCCAAAGAGGATTGGAGCCTGCCTTGGTGGTGGTGGGTGTAGGTCCTCCAGAACAGTAGCAGGTTTTCTGGCAGCTATAAGAGATCTAGTTAATGTAGAGAATGTATATGTCAGTGCAGAGTGGAGTCTTGGACGAGTGAGATTCTGGTTGAAATCCTCACTCAGTTATGAAGCTCACTTGGTGGGCCAGTAATTTCTCTCAGCGTGAGCTTCCTCACATGTTTGTTGTGAAGGTGCAATAGATGGAGAAAGAGAGGAATATCTCCAACTCTTGAGTTCTTTGGAGAAGAGACAAAATAAAAACTGAAATGGGATCCAGAAGTCCTAGATTTCTCAAAAAACGAAAACAAAACTTGAGTGATAAAGCTCTTAGCTTATTGGAATGGCCTTGGAGCCAGTGGGTTTGGGCCAGATTAATGATCCATCTTTAAACATACTTACTAGGGAGTAAAGGTAAAGAGACCCCTGACCATTAGGTCCAGTCATGACCGACTCTGGGGTTGCGGCGCTCATCTCGCTTTATTGGCCAAGGGAGCCGGCGTACAGCTTCCAGGTCATGTGGCCAGCATGACTAAGCCGCTCCTGGCGAACCAGAGCAGCACACGGAAACACCGTTTACCTTCCCGCTGGAGCGGTACCTATTTATCTACTTGCACTTTTTGATGTGCTTTTGAACTGCTAGGTTGGCAGGAGCAGGGACCGAGCAACAGGAGCTCACCCTGTCGCGGGGATTCGAACTGCCGACCTTCTGTTCTGCAAGTCCTAGGCTCTGTGGTTTAACCCACAGTGCCACCCGCGTCCCATTAAATTCAGTAAGATTTACCTGAGTAAACGTGTTTAGGATTGCATTACAGTCATACCTTGGAAGTCGAACGGAATCCATTCCAGAAGTCCGTTCAACTTCCAAGACATTCAGAAACCAAAGCGCTGCTTCTGATTAGCTGCAGGAAGCTCCTGCAGCCAATCAGAAGCCACACAGGATGTTCGGCTTCCGAAAATCATTCAAAAACCAGAACACTCACTTCCGGTTTTCGATCGCTCAGGAGCCGAAACGTCCGAGTTCCAAGGCGTTTGGCAACCAAGGTACGACTGTAATTTAGTTGAGCCCTACTGATTTCCATGGAACTCAAGTTTATGTCTTGACTAAGGCCACATGTGCACCATGCATTTAAACCACTAGTAGGCCACTTTAATAGCAATGGATTCCCCCAAAGAATTATGGGAGAGTTTGTTAAGGGCGCTGGGGGTTGTTAGGAGACCCCTATTTCCTGCACAGTGCTACAGTTCCCAGAGTTCCCTGAGGATAAGGATTGATTGTTAAACCACTCTGAGAATTGCAGTTCTCTGAGGGGGAATAGGGGAGTTTCCTAACAACTCTCAGCTCCCTTTCAAACTATAGTTCCCGGGATTCAAGGGAGGGAGCAGAGAAGTGCCATGACTGTTAATGTGGCATTAGGTAAAGGTAAAGGGACCCCTGACCGACTCTGGGGTTGCGGCGCTCATCTCTCTCTATTGGCTGAGGGAGCTGGCGTACAGCTTCATGTGGCCAGCATGACTAAGCCGCTTCTGGCGAACCAGAGCGGCACACAGAAACGGCATTTACCTTCCCGCCGAAGCGGTACCTATTTATCTACTTGCACTTTGACGTGCTTTCGAACTGCTAGGTTGGCAGGAGCAGGGACCGAGCAACGGGAGCTCACCCCATCGCGGGGATTCGAACCGCTGACCTTCTGATCGGCAAGTCCTGGGCTCTGTGGTTTAACCCACAGTGCCACCCGCGTCCCCTAATGTGGCATTATAGTGCTTTAAATGTATGATGCGGTTGTAGCCTTTCATATTGCATTTGTTTCAGCGGGATGTACTTTCCCCACACCCCAAAGCTGAGCTAAATCCAAACCAGAATCACTCAATCACTGTTTAAGTGTTCTCCAAATCTCCAGGCTCTCAAATCACCCCTGCTGTTCCCATCCTGGAACTCCCCAGCTGGCAATGGGTGTGGAAAAGCCAACACTGCCTGGGAGTTTGGGGAATTCCTCTTCCTGGCACTAAAGGTGACCACTAGAAGGCGCTCAAACTCCACAGTTTTCTACCAAGTCTATTGGGTTCGCATGGAGGAAGCAGCTGGGATTTCCCCCAACTCTCTAGCGGGCGCATTATTTTGTGCTAATAATTTACAACTCTTGCCAATGTAAGTGGAAAAGAAATGCCCCTAAAATTTCAGGCAGGCAGCATCTGTTTTTCTTCTGGAAAAATGAGATCAGGCTTCTAGGCTCAGCAATTTATGCAAGTAAAATACCAGTTTTTCCCCTAAAGTTGCTCAATTATTTAGAACCTTTTGAGCCAGTTTTCTGCAGAATATGGAATTGCTATTTGGGGGAAAGGGGACGATTTGATGCACACAGGGAATATATGGTTTTCTCTGTTAGTGGTGGGTTTAGTTATTTCCTTTCATTTTGCAAACTTTGCCTTCAGGGTTTAAAATGGGGGTGACTCACTTGCGATCCTCCAGAAATTGCTAGACTATAGCTTCCAGTGCCACTGGTCATTGATCATGCTGGTACAATGTTTGGTTAGCTACCCCTGGTTAAGCAGCCCCTGGTTAGCTACCCCCTGGTTAAGAACATGAGGAGTACAACCTTCCTGGGCAGGTGTCTCACACTTGAGCTGTAAACAGCTTTCATAATATACAGTACAGTGGTACCTCGGGTTACAGACGCTTCAGGTTACATACGCTTCAGGTTACAGACTCTGCTAACCCTTAAATAGTACCTCGGGTTAAGAACTTTGCTTCAGGATGAGAACAGAAATCGTATTCATTACGTAACCACTGTACAGTGGTGCCTCGCAAGACGAAATTAATCCGTTCCGCGAGTCTCTTCGTCTTGCGGTTTTTTCGTCTTGCGAAGCACGGCTATTAGCGGCTATTAGCGGCTATTAGCGGCTTAGCGGCTATTAACGGCTTAGCGACTTAGCGGCTATTAACAGCTTAGCGGCTTAGCGGCTTTAAGAAAAAGGAAACAAACTTGCAAGAACTCGCAAGACGTTTCGTCTTGTGAAGCAAGCCCATAGGGAAATTCGTCTTGCGGAACGACTCAAAAAACGGAAAACTCTTTCGTCTAGCGAGTTTTTCGTCTTGCGAGGCATTCGTCTTGTGGGGCACCACTGTATTCATTAAAAATAGCAATAGAATCACCAGACTTTTAAAAAGAAGCAGATATAGTGGTACCTTGGTTCTCAAACTTAATCTGTTCTGGAAGTCCGTTCCAAAACCAAAGCGTTTCAAGACCAAGGCACGCTTTCCCACAGTAAGTAATGCATAACGGATTAATCCATTCCAGACTTTTAAAAACAACCCCTTTTAACATGAATTTTACTATCTAATGAGACCATTGATCCATAAAATGAAAGTAATTATC